CATGGAGAGGTGTCAACACACGAACTGATACATGCAGTTGTGGATCGCAGGTTGTGGAGAGGCATGATCGCCCACGCCAATCTGCAAAGCATTTGATCATGATGATACCCCTCCGTAGCCGTTTTCTTCAGGCCTCTATGACGTTAAATTTAGCTAAAATACCTCATGGCTGTGAATTTTGGACAATTATTAAAACAAGCCAAACATTTCATTGAGGTGTGGTTTTACAGAATAATAAATTGAATTTCTAGCTGAAAGAAGTGAGGGCTCAAAGACAAACTTGAAAAACATCAGTAAGAGATAGTGATCATTTTTGGTCATGTTGTGAGAAGAATAAAACTGAAACACCTGTGACCACTTAAAAAATCTCTGGTAAAAGAGTCAGAGAAAAATAAGGCCAGACACTTTTTGACAGCTCTAGGTCATGTCATGAAGGGGTGGCAGCACACGAATAGATACAAGGTCTGACAATTAAGTAATGAGACTGATTTTATTATAGCCAAGACAAAAATGCCATCTATGAAGCAAAGCATGGAATCTAAAGAGGCAACATTCATCTATTATCTGGCAACTTTTCATCGCCTCTCGATAAGCAGACAACAAACAAGCTGCCATTCTGTTGACCTAGTCAGAGGTGCATTGTTATGTAATCAGCACGGAGCAAAAAGCTAACATTAAATTCTTTTTAAAACTCAGAAAAAGCGCCACTGAAACAGTCGAATTGATGCAACAAGATTATGAGGATAATTGTTTATCTGGTGCAAAAATTTTTAGTTAGTATTCATGATTCAAAAGTTGTGTGGAACTGAATACTTATGCACCTAGACCTGGATGCCAAATTTCTGTTCCTAATGATGAACTCATTGCAAAAGTCAGAGAACGTATACAGGAAGATCATTGTTTTACTGTGAGGATGATGGCAGATGAATCTGATGTTAATAGAGAAACCATTCATAACATTTTAGTGCAAGATTTTGGCAAGAAAAAAGTTGCCGGTTTGTACCAGATTCGTTGTCTAATGACCAAAAACATCAGCGGGTTGAGTACACAAGAGACATCATCAAAACAAGAATTTGTCGCCCAAAAACAAGTGTGTGTTCTCAGCCTTTCATCCTATTTCCCAGATTTGTCTCCCTGTTATTATTTTCTATTCCTAAAATTAAAGTTACGATGGAAAGGACGCTTCTTTAACAATACTGATGACGTCTAAAGGGCAGTAATATCAACTTTAAGGGTCATAACAACAGAATAAGTACAGAGGTCGTCCCAGTGTTTGTTAGATCGTGCCACTTGCTGTATCAATGCCCTAAGGGCTTACTTTGAATAAAATACAGGTTATATCTTCAACTGTTGATTATTTTAATTTTTATGGAATTAGTCTCATTACTTTATTGTCGGACCTTGTACATGTTAAAGATGGCAGATTGTAGAGTCATGATCCCCCACGCCCTTCGCGAACGTACGTAACGATGCTGCTGCTGTATTTAATCTAGAAATTAAAATTGATACTCATACGTCCTTTTTAGGACTTAATTATTTGTTACTTGAAGCCCCACTATGGCTTTTACCAGGGGCCGCAATATAGACAGGCCATAAATATGGCCAATTGTCTGAACGCGGTTTCTGGGACCTCTCCACGGCGATCCTCATCCACATGGTGGCACTTTGTATCATCGGGTGTTTATCGCTTGTGTGATGTCCTGGTGGGGAAGAAATTCATTCAATCTAGAAAAATCGTCTTTTTTTAGGATGAAATTTGTTGTTATTTGAAGCCCCACCCTGGCTATTGTCAGGGCAGGCAGGCCATAAATATGGTCAATTGTCTGAAAGCGGTTTCTGGGACCTCTCCGCGGTAATGAGAGCGTTTGGTCGGAGCAGTACATTGGAGCACATACATTTGCATATTATTAAATGTTAATGCAAAATATATTTAAAAAAAATATAAAATATATCGCTTACACTGAAGGCTGACCTAATTGATGACTTTCGGAACAAGATATATGCCATCATTATAGATAAGTCTGACGTTTCCACTCAAAAGCACTTGTGCATTACAGTTTATTTTTTCAGTGACAGGAAATATTTGCTGGATTTCTTGCTTTAATTTCATTGCAACTGGCTACAGGAAAAAACATTTAATTTGAACGATAAAGAAATCAAAAGCTGTGGTCAGTCTTACTGATTGCAGTGGGTTTGCGTCAGATGGCGCTTCAAACATGGTCGAGTGCAAGAACTCTGTAGGGTCTAGAAATAAAGATGTTTCTTTTTTGTGTAAAGCTCAAATGTATTTGCCATTCATTAGAACTGTGCATGCGTAATGCAGTTGCCAAGCTGCCATCAAATAGTGGTTTCTTACTCTCCTAAATGCCTCAGTGATTTAAGACAAAAAGCCTAAAAAGAACATTTTAAAGTGTAAACACATCTACAGTTTGAATCAGGACGAACTGCTCCTCTTTCATTTGAAAAACTTTTATCTACTCGGTGGCTTATGCGTGGAAAGATTATGCTTAATATGTTGGTGAATTGAGAAGAATTGAAAGCTTATTTCACATCTGCTGAATTAGTCCAGACAACGTGTGACACAAAACATAAAATAAGATTTTTAAAGGAAATGCTATTAGTCCGCAACAATTACACAAGAATTTGAAAGACTGATCAGTTTTTGTTTCAACAAACAAAAGTCAATCCTCATGAACTACACCAAAAATTGTAATTGCATCAGAAAAGTCTTAAGAACAGACTGCATGATGTCAATAAGCAGGGGAAAAAATATTTATCACGTTGACTTTGGTATTAAATTAATAACAGAGTGTAATGTGTTACTACAGAATAAGTACGGGGCTGAAGCTCTTGTAGGAATAAAACATATTAGAGAAAGATGCATGCATGTGCTAGAAAAAAAACTCTTGATCAAATTACATGTAAACTTCCCACCGAGAATATATTTCGAAATCTGTCAAAATTGAGACCTATGACAGTTTTAAATCACAGTTTTCAGAGCTACAATTTTTACACCTGGCAGAAAACAACATCATTGTTATAGAAGAACAGTACAGAAAATTGATTGTTGTCAACTGGGAAAAAAAAGAAGCTTCATTTAAGAAAGATGGACTTCTTACAAACAGTGAAGTTTTGGTTAGGCGTACTTCGACACCAGGCATTTAAAGAGTTGGCCCCTTACTTGCCAAATAATGTCAGTTAGCAATGCTGTAATGCTTTAGTTGAGAGAATATTTACTTCAGTTAAATCAACCCGCTATGGGTTCCCGGGCCCTATTATAAGTAAAACAAGAATAGACCCACTACCTACACAAAAGCTTGTCGTAAGAGTAGACTTCGAAGTCGGAGTGCATCTGCCTGAGAGGCAAGGAACCAAGAGTCTGCCACAAATGTATCATTCTGTCAAACGGACGCACACGTGTTCTGGAACAGGACTGCAGTCCAGAAGTGGACGAACAACCAGAACTTTCCACCATAGTTTACAGCTGGTAAACGCAAAGAAGAAGAAGCTGAATCAAAAGCAAGAAAAAACTACAACTAGATTTTCTTGATGCAGTTGTGAGAATTTAAGCAGAACTATTGATATCAAACAAATGTTGCAAAGACATCTGATGAAATGCTTGAAGATTTTACACCTAAAAAGGTTTACGCAGTATCTTCCACTTGTTTCAGTGAGGATGACAGCCAGGAATTCAGTCTAGATATATTCTTCTTCTTCTTCTTCGCGTTCACCAGCTGTACACTCTGACGGAAAGTTCTGGTTGCTCGTCCACTACTGAACTGCAGTCCTGCTCCAGAACCTGAGTGTTGCGTGTGCATCAGTTTTACAGATCTCATTCTCTTGAATACAGACTGTTGGTTCCTTGCCTCTCCGGCAGATGCACTCCGACTTCAAAGGAGGCTCCCCAATTAGTCGACTCTTACGACATGCTTTTGATGAGGCAGTGGGTCTATTCTTGTTTTCCCCTACAATGGGGCCCCGGAACCCACACGGGGGTCTAGATATATTGATATGAATTTAGTACAGTGTAACTTGTTATTCGCCTTTTTTTTCTGGCGTATTTTGGATAGTCATTTGGCTTAAAATTGAACAGAGAAATTAACTCGAGATGTGCCAAGAGAAACATCGGTGCAAGTCAAACTTTAGAAGTCGCTGAGTGAATTACAAATTACAGTGAAGTTCATACTAGAGACAACATTGCAGATATAGATAATCTATTTAAAACGAATAAAAGAAGAAGCTCGAGATGTGCCAAAGCTAATTAAGTAATGGGGCAACTATCTTCCCTGTTGACACACAAGCAGATACCCCGGAGTACTATAGTAAATCTTATAAGAACTATTTTTTGGGATAACACTATACTATTAGTGCTAAACGTGGACATTTATATCCTCTAAAGAACGTAAAATTGTGACAACAGTGGTGAAATTCCTAAGAAGAGCTGCAGGAGTTTAAAGGAAAGACAGAATAGGAAATCAGACGAATGATATGAATAAAGCTATAGTTTTACATGTCACCAAAATACAACAAATGAAGTGGTTTGGACCCTAACAAGAACGCCTGGGTAGTATCCATTACAGTGAGTCACACTGAAACGTCAGAGCGAAGACCTTGAAAAAAAAAAATAGGGTGACGGCATTAAAAACAGCCTTACATATATGAACATCTATCATAATATTGCCTTTGACACATCAACGAACGTTGCATCTCGCCCGGACACTTCACTGAATACACGGTGGAAAAGAAGAAGCAGAAGATTTGGCTTAAAGTTTTTTTTTCTTTCTGGCGACTCTGGCTAACGGACGTATCTGGCAAACTTTAATGGCGAGTGGATGCAGATTCTGGGGCGGCGCATTTCACTGTTTATAGTATTCGTAGTTTTTGAGACTAATAAAATATATTTGTAGCTGTATACTATACATACAGGATTTACTTAAACTTATTTAGCATATATTTAGTGACGCTTACTTTACGGTTTTGGAAATTTCTCAAGAGAAACTATGGCGTACCGTAGGAATCCCACAGGTATGGAATGATGAACGGACAGCACAGTCACAGCATGTTTTTTTTTCGGTCGTGTTTTGTGTTTAAGAACTACTGTTATTAGTAATATTACTAACCACTAGTATTAATTATTAAGCATACGACTAGGGAGCAGAAATACTTTTTTTTAATGAATTGTTAGTTCTTATAGTAATTTAAATTACTTGAAATATTATATATGGCTCTCCTCCGAACTTCAACCCGATATTAGCCTAGGCGTCCATAAAATATCCTTACAGGGCTCAGTTCTAATAAAAATTTGCCGGCTCCGTATAATGAAACAAATGCTCTAACAGGGTCTCAGTGATATGTTACTTGCAGACCTGTTTCTGTGACTATGCCTCACCGCCGACCGATGGGGCTAAACTAGATGGCTGGGACTCACGAACAGCAGCTACCGCATCTCCTGCAACTTCCTCAAATTAATTTCCTCGTAAGTCCCAGGCACCTAGTTTAGCCCCCCATCCGCGCTGCGTAGAGGCGCGGGGGATACGCTCCGCGGTGAGTTTAATCGCATTTTGCGCATGCTATTGTCTGCTACTATCGTCTGCAGAAACGCTCGAAATTGTCAACGGTCTCTATTATCATCTGCTACTATCATCTGCAATGTTGCGTCTCTTGAAATTGTCAAGTAATCCTAGTTTTGTCGCGGTTTGTTCCTTGGCAGAAAGTCCGCATTTTACATATGCCGGAGCCCTGTAAGGATATTTTATGGCCGCCATAATATCGGGTTGAAGTTCGGAGGAGAGCCCCATATATATATATAATTATATGGTTATAGTACAGTAACATTTTCTGCCCAAGAAGGAATGATTTCCTTTCCCAATCATTCATGCCTTGTCATGTTGCAGAGCCTGTTGTTGCGGTGGTATCAGTTATCACACTTTGTGACCGACCACCAACATTAGTATTTTACTAGTCACCCCTATCCCACAGTCACAGCCTACATCCCACGACTGTATATTTTAGGCTGCATGCTGTCGTGGGACATAGTCTGCACTATCTCTTGGGATGTAGGCTGCATGTAGGCTGAATCTGTGGGGTTGGGGGTTAGGTCCAGCTCTACATAATTTGAGACCACTAAAATCGCTCACATTATGGAATATAGAACATGCGATATCGCCGACCGCTGACAACGAGTATAATGCTACGTGTTGCTGGCCATTCACTAAGTGTGACACCCTTGTAACATAAGACAGGCTCTGCGACATGAGGAGGGATGAATGGGAAGGAAAGTCACTCTATTCCTGGGCCGAAAAAAAATTACAAGTACCATATATACTCGTGCAATGAATTGAATAGAGTATGAAAATCAGCTCTACCATATTTGGAATAATGGAGTGCAACTTATTTAAGTATTTTAATTTACTTACTGATACTCGGGTGATTCTTAGATGAATTGAAACAGTGAAAGATAGGGTAACAAAAATAGTAAAAACAAAGAATAAAACACTGATTTTAGTAAAATCATTCAATATTTTAAATAAAAGACACCTGTTTTCTTTTCTGTCTGTGATGCAGTCTTAAGTGGGTTGTACTTAGTGATTGTAATTCATACTCACATTTTTTTTACCATAGGAAAGAAGCACATGCTAAAATGTGTTTATCTACCTTTCGTATTTTCTGTTGTTCCATTGGTTCTTAACCCATTCAGCGGGTATTAAGAATATGTCTATCCTGCCCAGCTGCTAAGCGTAAATGACAGCCATTTACAACTGGGACTTTCAATGACCTAGATTATATATCCTGGGTATGATGTGATGAACTACACAATTGCTACTTTAACTGTTGTGTTAGTGCAGTATTCTCCACTTGGTAGATGCTTTCTTCAATATCTGTAAAAAAAAAAGTAAAGGTCCCTTTTCCACGCCTTTAGGGCTAGACCTATATTTTTATAGACCAATCGGCATAAGATGGGTGATGTGTTCAGCATGTCGCTGGCCTCTTTTACTTCCCGGGACTGCAACTGGTACCGACCCAAGGCTGGGTCAACCTGGGAGTCAAAGTCATTTTTAAAAAATATCTGGCTCCACCAGGGAGCGAACACACGACTTTCCGCATGTGAGTGTCTAGACGCTACCCTACAGAGACTCCCTTCAATATCTGGTGGGTGTGTTAATCCATTGTTTAGCTGCATACGTCCAGCAGTTAATGTCAACAAAAAGCTGTCACCCTGTCTGAATCATTCATGCAAATTATTTACACTCCACAATTGGTCTCTGTGTAGTTAGATCGGACGCCGATGTGCATTGTTGCGCACGTAAAAAAATCTCTTGGCGGTTGGAAATTGAAAAGAGTAGCCTAACGGAGCTGCCCGGGCAAAATTTTGAATTAAAAATCTACCCAAAGTATTTCAGGATCCTCGCCAGTGCTACAGAGCCTGTGCACTGTGCTGAGCTTTTTCGGACTCAGACTTGAGTTAAAAGAAGAACGTTTCCCCGTGTGGGTTCCTGGGCCCCATCATGGGGAAAACAAGAATAGACCACTGCCTACCCAAAAGCATGTTGTAAGAGGTGACTAATTGGGGAGCTTCCTTTGAAGTCGGAGTGCATCTGCCTGAGAGGCAAGGAACCAACAGTCTGCATTCAAGGGAATCAGATCTGTAAAACTGATGCACACGCAACACTCAGGTTCTGGGGCAGGACTGCAGTTCAGAAGTATAGGAATAACCAGAACTTTCCACCAGAGAGTCCAGCTTTTGAACGCGAAGAAGAAGAACGGAGCACTTATGGTTACTACCCGTGTGCCATGATGTTGATCCATTGTTAAAACTTTAATAGTCACGGTGCAGCTTTCTTGATAACTGTTTCTCATTTTATAATCTTTCTGTCATGACTGAAAGCAGCAAGTAAAGCCATCTGCCTTTTATAGATACTGATATTACAAAACTGGAAGTGAGCTTTTGAGTAGTGATGATTTTAGCAACAGTAGGGGCAGCTGGATGGAAGAAAGTGATGGATTCAGACATTCAAAGATAATGACTTTTGTCCACAATCATTGCATTGGTTAACTTCGCCAGTGTAAGCATTACCTACCATCATCACCACTGTTACTCAATATTGTCTCAGTCAGCTGACATCATCACTATCGGCTAACTTCGCCACTGTCAGCCAGCATCGCCACTGACAGCTGTATTTGTACTCGCTGATGCATTTCATAATGTCCTTTGTAAAAGAAAGAAAACTGAAAGAAAAGAGTGCATTTCATAATAACCTTTGGCAAATAAATGGCCAGGATCTTTTCTATCCATGGGGCATCAAGCAGCTTTCTACACCACCAAAACCAACTTGCCACTGAGGCCAGCATTTTTTCAAATAAACCAAGATGTGGCATGTGCATGAAAAGGACTTTAGAAAGGAATCTTCCTACTAGTGTGAAGTGTTTTTGTTTGTGGTGCTGTGCTTTACAATTTTCCACACAAAAACAAATTATTGTATTTATGTAGATTATTTTAAATATTTATATGAAAATAAACTTTATATTTAATTGGTAGCTAAAAACACACACAAGGGAAAAGTGTCCACATGCTGGCACAGTACATGACCAAAGAAAACTTCAGGCTGTGTGAGCAGTGTTAGCCAGGCACTTAAAGGGGCTAATTCTGTTCTTATCTTCTGCATTTCTTTGCAAACAGTTGGCATGGCATCTTTGAGACTCTTCAGATCATTTTATTATACCCTGCCATCAGCTACTGTGACTGAATGAGGCAAGTCGGACAGTGCAGTGTGTCCACTCTGCCAAATGTATGGGGGTCATCAGGAATGTTTGCTGGGATGTAAAACTTATTATAAAACTGATATTTATAGTGAGGAGCGGCTGGCTGAGTTGTTACACCATCGGACTCTCATGCTGGAGATCTGGGTTTCAATCCCGGTAAGATGATGAAGTATTTCTCTCAGGGACAAAATTTAACATCTTAACCTGCACAGTCCGTGACAATAGCACTACTAGCGGTGTTGCCCCAAATTCTCAGGCCCATGCCACCCCACCCCCTCCCCCCCCCCCCCCCCACATTTATACCGTCCTAAAAAAAGATGGTACAGATACTAGTGACATTTTTTTGTCGTAAGAAGTATTTAAGGAATTTAAAAAAATTTTTATGTGACTTTGGATGACAAGGGGTCTTAAAAGGGTGAATATGCAGGTGTGAGAATTAGACTGCAAGACTACTCTGTTCACTCCACTTTAGCGAGCATTCACATGCGGCAAGATGTTGACAATTCAATAAAAAGCTGAGATGTGCTGTGGTATGCCGAACTGAAATCGGTTGATGCAGTGAAATGTAGTTGGTGGAATTGCACCTGTGAGAAAACCCTCTAGATAACAAAGCTTTGAATCCATGGCTAAAGCAGTACAAAGAAACTTTAAATGTTGCAAAAAGAAAATCTTCTGGCCAACCAAAAACATCAGAGCAAGATGTGTAACGCATACGGCAGTCCCAAATTAGAAGCCCAAAGAAATCAATTGCATGTAGAAGTTTAGTATTAGGTAATCCCAAAAAACTACCATTCAGTATGTTGGGCACACAAACTTAATGGATACCAGCGTTTAAAGGGCCTGATTTCACATTTGTATGTGTCGTGACGTTCTATAGGAGTTGTCGGGAGCAGAATCCTGCTGCTCTTAATGCTGAGGTATGTGAGCTTATCAATGACAGGTCAGATGAGACAGATGTGGTGATCTTCACAGACGAGTCCGTTATACGAGGAAATAAGAGTGCATGGGCATTTACAGCTCGCTGTACAGGCAGAAGAGTTCGAGAAGCTTTCATGTGGCTAGAATCACAGGACTATTCCAGCGTGTGTGCTGAATAATTCTTTTAGCATGATCCGGCGGGTCACGCAGATAGTTTGAGTACTTGCAAAGCTCTCCTATGTGTGCAGTTACCTTCCAGGGCATACAGGCGTTGTTGGTAATGAAAGAGCTGATAGACTAGCAGGTGCTGCATTAATTGAAGTTTACCGGCCCATGGATCATGCAGAAATTGTCATTGCCCTTAGGGAGATAGGGCATTCTGGAATTTTGGAAGCAATATGTCCACATCACTGCTAAGAATACGAGAATTGGGAGTAAAGATCAGCACAGCCAAGCATGAGAAGCATACCGGACACACGAAGTCTTGTTAACCAACATAGGACTGGCACTATTAACTACGCGATGCTGATGAATATGTTGAGAGGGGAATCTGAACGCCTATGGATGTGTCCGGAGTGCAGTGAAGATAACTCATAACTCATTTGGGGTTCACAGCCACCAGGAATGATTCATGAGTAGGTACGGTCAGATAATGCTTCAATTTTAGCCTCAACGTCCAAGTTAAAACCATTGGACCAGGTTTTAATACAAAAGTGTTCTGCAAACAGTTTCTTTGGTGTGCAAGGAAAAATCTTGATTTTCTATTACAGTTCGAACAGTTTTTTTTTTAACACATCAGTCTTTCAGAGAATATTTCCAGACAGTGCCATTGTCAGAGAATTTTGCCTGTCTGAAAGATCTTCCCGGATCTTTCTGTTTGGTTTCTTTCGAGCTGCTTTACATCCTTGCTGAAGGGCAAGCTGCTCAAGACAGCACTTCGGGGAAACTAAATTTTAAAAATAATGTCACCTAAAAAAATTTTTTTTTAGACCTCGAACAGTTCAGTTGAAATAGAGATATCAATTCAGATGAAAAGTAGAGCTATTCATCTTTACGTTATCACAAATGACAGGTGAACATTGTGGTTAGAAAGCCTTTATCAGCACATTACATGAATAGATATTGTTGCAACTATGAAATAACTCTTGAAGGATGAAGTTTTCAATTACAACAACGATGATCAACATATATTGTTGGTACTACGCCATTGTTCATTTTAGAGGTCATCGCACATGACCATATTTTATTGTTTATGTCTTGAAAGAAAATCACCCATTGAAGTACTGTTTCTGCCCGGGCCATTCAAGACTGGCCTCGTTTAAGTCTGTTGCCTTTATGCGTATTTAGTTTATCTTGCAGTGAGTGTGTATAGACCTCAGTGATTTTGAGATAAGCATACGCTTGGTGCTTTTCAAGTCTGTTGATTATATCTAAAATTGAGCACTAGGTACGGCAACATGTTAAACTTTGAAGTTATTGTTGCTTCTCACAGCGGTTTGCTAATGCAGTTTCCACGTATGGATGGAAGTGTATGGTTTTGCTGCCTGAGCTACTGAGTTTAGTGCATCTTGCGGCCCTGTGAGCTGTGTTTTTCAAGTGGGATGCCTTTCGTTTGTGCAGCGGTTGAATCGTGGTATTCAGTGTGGCCGGTTTACTTATGGGCTAATGAAATACCTTGTGTAACATTTCTGTGTGTGTATAACCAACTTATCGTGCCTGACTACTTTCACCAATGACACACTGCATTTCTGGTGGTGACTGTTGGCTTTGGCGCCTCTAGCAACTGTCATATGCATTTACTGCATTGTCTGGTCACCATTTTTTCACATTGGGACATTTAATTTAATTTTCACTTGCACAGGAATGGAGCAAGTATGTTATGGCCAGATTGCAGCAAAATTGAAACTTTGGCTAAGACTAAGACAGCTATGAATAAATACACAAAAATACTTTACCGAAGTTTGAGAGAAATCCAAATGTCTGTCTGGTCAATTAAAGTTTTGACACACTTCAGTTTAAACAGATTGATTTCTTTGCCTGGTTTTGGAATGCAAAAATACTACAGATGTAGAGAAGTGCAGGGCGCCATCTTCTTCTTCAGTCTTTCTGTGGGAAATGTTCTTTCTGAATCGTCCTGTGTGCTATACAGGTTTGTCTTAATTGGGATGGTAGCAGGCGACATGGCTTCACTGTCAGCTGTGACGGTTGATAATGAAGAGGGCATGTAGCCAATTTTAACATTTTTCCAAATCCACAATTTTAATTTTTTTAAATAGTGAGATGCTTAGTCTTGTTATCAAACACTGGTTCACTGTAGACGCTTGTGCACTCATGTGCCACTCCTTCTCAGCAGACAATAGAAATAATTTTACATGCATACACACACTGTGTAAGAATGTATAATATTTTGTCTATACATTTTGTTTCCCTTTCTGTGGGTAGGTGGAGAAATGGATCGTAACTGGGCTGGTGATGATCGTGGGTTTCATGGTATGGATCGGGGTTATGGACCAAGAGGTGTGGATTTTCCCCCGGGTTACAATAATGGTGGTAATTACCAAGATGTTCCACCACATTGGAATGAACATCGTGAGGATGGTCCTTACCAACAACACAGGAATATGAGTGAGAATTACAACAGCAGGAGAGGCGGTGGTAATCACCAAAATGTTGCAGTCCGTGGAAGAGAGTATAATAGTTCCACGTCTCAGCAGACAGCGCCACGTTCTAACAGCGCAGAGGCTACTGAAAAACCTGGCTTTGTTAATAATGTGCGTCAGTCTGGAAGAGGTGGGGACGATATTCACAGGAAGCAGGAGAGCGAAAGACTTGGCGCCGGAAAAGATCAGACTCAAAATTCTAGAGGTAGGATGAAAATGGTGGTTGGATAAGTTTTGTTAATGTGTGCATTGGGGGCTGTGGTGTGTGTGTTATTTTTTTGCATGCCACTTCAAATGTCTTGGGTTTTAATCTGTTTTGAGGAAGATTTGTATAAAAGGTTTGGGCTTTGAGGTTGATCCAGCCTTATATGGGTACAGGTAATGTCCATGGAAGTAAAAGTGGCTGGCGTAATGTTAACCACATCACTCAGCAAGTGCTATTTGATTATGCAAAAATTGGGTCTGGCACCATATACTTAATCGACAGGTGCTGTGATAAGGTATTTTTCTTAATTTTAATTTATTTCTTAATGTTAAGTTACGTAATAAAATTAACAGGGTTATAATGGCAGTTTGTTGACATATAAAAGGTATTTGGACATTTTCACCGCCATTTATATTTCACATGATATTTCTCCATCATTTTTTGGTTTTGTTATCGATATGCTGCCACAGAGTTGTTGTTTAGAGTGGTTATAAATGGCTGCCTTATGCATTTAATGCGTGTGTATGCTATTAGATATGCTGAGACTGCGGTTTATATATTCATTTTTTCACACAAGACAGAAATGGACATTATGTGTGATTGTTCATTGGTACAGGAACGGAACAACTACGGGGTGACCTATTTGCTGTGAAGTTGAAACCGCAATTACCTATTGTTTATTATATTTAGAAAATTTGTCAGATGTCATTTAAATCCATATAAGAGCTCCGGTTTAGGCAGCGTTTTGAATATAAACAGGAAAGGGTCTTTTTTTTCTTGTTGAGGAGCATTTTTTATATGTAATAAAGAAAAAGACCTTTTTCCACACCTTCACGTATGTTAGGTATATAGGGCTTTTCCTATATTTTATAGAGCAAACAGCACTTGCTGGTTGATTTGGTCAGCATCATTTTACTTCCCATGACTACCTGGTACCCACTCAAAGCTGGGTCAACCTTTGAGTCAATGTCATTTTTGAAAATATTTCATCCTCCATCAGGACCCGAACCCATGACCTTCTGATCTGCAGGCAAGCATCTAGCTGCTAGACCACGGCGCCTCCCTTGGTATATAATGCTAGGTGTATATTTAGTCTTCTGTGGTGGGTGTAGGTACTTATTCTTATCCACACACTCCAAATTCAGTAGATTAAAATTGGGACAGCTGTTCTTGTTATGCTGATTATAGACAGCATCCTTTGTTTACACAGAAATACCACAAGATTGGCTCATCAAATAAATGCTAAGTGCCAAAGTATCCTCAGGAAAAGGAAATGAAGTGATGCCTAGAGAAAATTATGAAATGTATTTACTAGATATGGCAGGCTGACCACCTTACTTACATCCCCTTCTTATTTTGTGTATAGATGAACTTATAACTTACTTAGTTTAAGGTTTAGTACTTTAAGAGCTCATCCATACCTGCACAGGACTGCAGGTTACACCAGGCTGGTGTGGCTATTACATGTGCCAAAATTTTAATGTCTTTGGAGGTTGAACATGGTATCTGTGATTCACCTTGGCTTGTCATCCATATTAAAATGTAATTTCAGGGTTGTCAGACCTTCAGGTAGCAGTCCGGAGGGAACAGAATGAATGGAAGATTTCATAATTTATATGTCCACACTCACTCAGTAGTGTGTTTCTGTGACAGAGAGTTAATCTGTATACTTTGTGACTGAGAATTAATCTTCATTTTTTTTTTATAAATTGTGTCAGCAGTAAAGTAAATGATATGCTATGCTGTTGATTAGTTTCTTCTGTCTTTGAGAATGATCAGTGAGTTGTGTAATCTGAGATAAAAATTATGTTTTAATGCTAAAGCGAAGCCAGATAAACGGTGATTATGCTACATGCTTGTAATATGTAGCAAATTAACACTTCAGCCAGGCTTGAAATGCTTGTCACTCCTTCCAGTCTAAGCACTGTAACAGTGTCTCAGTGACTGCCAGTTCTGCCACTAGCTCTTATCACCCTCAGTTTTGTAGGATGTGATGTTGTCTTTTTGTTAATTTGAGGACTAATAATATGTGTATGTATATATGTTATGTTTGTCTATATCACAGATAAAGACATGCAAACAACTTGCTGTCTTTCATTGTCATGTCTTGGGGGATTCCTTAAAACAGATTGTCCTAAACCATTTGCCTTCACTTCACCTCTCCTGCCCTGTCATGATATATACGGTTTCATACATCTGCTAATGATAAATATTAGATATCTGTGTATGGCAAACCACCAAGTTGAAAGTATCTTTCAGTTACTGTTGTATGAAGTGGCAGTTATTTATAACAGATATATAAAGTGACATATACATTTAGAAAAAAGAATATATATAAAGTGACATGTAGTTTGAAAAAAAAAATTTCTTAAATAAAATCTAATGACACTGTTCATTATTTCTATGCAGGGACAGGTCCAGTGTGTTGTTAATAAATTAATGTTACAAATACATGGAAGAAAAAAAATCAGTCATTGTGCTCAACTGTGAAAATCTACAACTGTTTTGATAGACCAGTAAATAAAACTCAATACTACTACAGTTGATTGAACCAACTATTTTTGTTAGATATATAATTGTGTTGAGCTAATGAACAACTAACAGGCAAAATGTCCACTTTTCGTTTCCTTGTTATTTTCCAGGTTAATACTAACTCAGTTAAATTTTAAATTGTTTAATTAATAGTTAACCTTATAATACATATATATTTTTTTTGGATTCACTAAAGACAACAAGGGGTTGTCCCATGTTGGTGTGTACTGTTTCTGTAAAGTGTCCCATGTTAATGCACCAGGCCGTTTGCTTTTATTACAGATAGCCTGAAAAATACTCACTCCCATTTTCCCTCCCTCAAACATTTCACGCCTAGGGTATATTTAACGTCATTTGCTTCAGACACTGTGATATCATGTATATTTTCTTGCAGTCATAGATCTTAAGGGATTTTCTAAAATATTTCTCAATTTCTTATGTCTTCATTTCTCTGTGTCTCCTCGAATCTGTTGTTTGGGATTCCAAATATTCTCCCAGCAATAAATGATGTAAGTAGTAGGCCACCCGCCTCTTTGTAAAATGTTTTCTTAGTTTTTACATTTGGTCAGAGCTTGCTAAGGATATCTGGCTTCCCAAGTGGCCTTGTCTGTTTCATAATAACTCCTTTGAAAGTAACACACTCCTTATTTTGTATAGTTATTTTCCTGTTTTGGCATGGGCACCCTTGGGAGACACTTTCTGGGCCTGAAAGAGATGGAATAGAAAAAAATCTCAGAGCTATTTGTCAAGGCATTTAATCTTTCCTGCCTTTTCTATTATTTCTAGTTCTTTAAGTATTATTTTTTAAATGTATCATAGCCTGTAATTTTACCATTAACATGAATTAATGATTGCTCATGGTGTGATATCTATACTAGATTGTTTTTTTTTTGCCATATATTTTTTGACTTGTTTTAATGTGTGACTGAGGCTATCTTTAAAAAAAAATGATATATACAACAACAAAAAAAACACAATATTCTCATAACAGGTTTTTAGTTTATTTAAAAAAAAAGAAGGCAAATTGTTATTTTATTGATCAGTATGTGACCAAAGATGTTGTTATAATAAGGAAATTAAAAGTGGCGATTATTATTCAGTCAGTATCTAGTGGTTGCTTACTTGTGTAGAAGAGTTTAACAATATAGATAGATGTTTGATTGTTGTGAAAAGTTATTTATCAGGGGTTGTTTTGTTGTAAAAAAAAGTATAAGTAAATGATTAACTGTTTGAGTGCAATCAGCTCATTTAGCTTTAAGTTAATTTGGGTTTTATGAGATAGTTATTGTAAGTGAAGGACACTGTTCATGTCTTTGGTGTGCTAGACATAGTTTTATAGACCAGTTGGCACTTTTTATGTGATGTGGTCGATATTGTGCTGGGTGTCTTTACTTTCCAGGACATTACCTGGTCCTCATTTTAGGCTAGGGTAACCTGAGAGCCAAAGTCAGTTTTGAAAAAAAAATCTGCTTGGTTGCAGGTTTGAACTCTGGACTCTTGTGTCCTGCTGACATGTTATGGTGGCATCCATGATAATTATAGATAACACTATTAGGTTTTTTCTGACACATTTTCAGATTTGTGTGAGGTTATCAGTTCTTTTAGCAAAGTTATTTTTACATGGAATATGGTTTCATTAACATCATGTTCAACACTTGTTTTGTTTTATTGTGAACTTCAGATGATAATCAAGCCATTGCTGATGAGAATGGGGCGCAGAATCAATGGAATCAAAATGAGCAAGTAAGAGACATTCTGAGTCACCCATTTGCTACAGAATTGTTTGTAAGGCCTGAATGAATCTGATTTTGCCACCTGAAAAAGGTTAAAAGCCACTGAATTAAAGGAGAATTGTTTGGAAATTGTGAACACAGCAAGCAGTCTAGCTGTGTGGTGTAATTTTATTCATGGTCATTTCAAGTGATGAGTTGTGTTCGGTCTATAAATAAATAAAATCACAGTTCAGCCTTTCTCACGCTTCAGTGCTCCTAGGTCAGATGGGTTCATGATAGAGGACAGGACTCTAACTAGAGTTCTGTGAGTCAAATAGTTTTTTTTTTCTGAAGCAAGTCTTCATTTATGGTTATGATTAGTTGTGTGAGTTTACTAGTTGGTATCTATAGTAAGTCTTTATTTATGGTTCTAATTATTTCTGTGAGTTGAATAGTTTTCTGAAGCAAGTCTTCATTTATGGTTAAGATTAGTTGTGTGTTTACTAGTTGGTATCTATAGTATTTATGGTTCTAATTATTTCTGTGAGTTGAATAGTTCTTTTCTGAAGCAAGTCTTCATTTATGGTTAAGATTAGTTGTGTGTTTACTAGTTGGTATCTATAGTATTTATGGTTCTAATTATTTCTGTGAGTTGAATAGTTCTTTTCTGAAGCAAGTCTTCATTTATGGTTATGATTAGTTGTGTGAGTTCACTAGTTGGTATCTATAGTAAGTATTTATGGTTCTTATTAGTTCTGTGAGTTGAATAGTTCTTATCTAAAGCAAGTCTTCATTTATGGTTATGATTAGTTGTGTGAGTTAAATATAAAATAGTTTTAATCTGAAGAAACAAAATTAGTTGCATATCATTTACAGGACATTGCAGAACCAACTCCAGCATTTGTTTAGCTGTTTTGGTTTTTCTAGGCACATCTTACGTTCAGAAGTTTGCCAGTCTTATCTGAGGCAAGTCTTTATTTATGCTTGTAATTAGTTCTGTGAGTCCAATGGTTCTTATCTAAAGCAAGTCTTTACTTGTGGTTCTGGTTAGTTCTGTGAGTTGAGTAGTTTTTATCTGAAGCAAGTTTTTATTTATGGTTTTGTAATAGTTCATATCTAAAGCAAGTTTATTTATGGCTGTAATTTATAATTAGTTCTTATCTGAAGCAAGTCTTCCTTTATTCTAATTATTTTTGTGAGTTGAATAGTTATTATCTGAAGCAAGTCTTTATTTGTTCTAATTTATAATTAGTTTTTAAATAGTTCTTATTAGAAGAATGTCTTTATTTATGGTTCTAATTTGAAATTAGTTCTTAAATAGTTTTTATCTGAATCATGGCTCTGTTTAATTATTCTAACAGGTCTGTGAGCTGAATACTTATTTATCTGAAGCAAGTCTTTATTTATGGTTCTGATTAGTTCTGTGAGTTAAATAGTTCTTATCTGAAGCATGTTAAAGTATTTAAATATCTAGGAAGCATATTCTCAGAATATGACAGAACAGATGGAGAAATAGAAACACAGTACTAAAGGGAAATTGTACTTATGAAGCAACTGACATGGTTAATAAGACATCTAAAAAGCAGAATATAAGCACAATTTTATACCAACGCTGTACTGCCAATGCCAGACTTGGGCTTAATAAGAGGCTTGCATATCTGAATTTAAGTTAACTATCCAAGACTGAGTAAGAAATATTATAACTGGAAATAACATGCACCAAATTTATTGAAAAACAGATCTGATGCTTCGGTCACCCTGTTAAAGTTAACAGCTACCAACACAGGCACTGCACCTTCAAAGATCTTATTTGAGAGTAAGAAGGCACTCACAATGTTTTGATGACATTGAAGGTTTTGTACATCCACATTTAATGACAATAACCAGTGCTAGTTGCATCAATAATTGCTTGCTGCCCTGCTCTGAAATTTGTTGAGAGTTTCAGGGAAGCACATGACACTTTCACTGTGGTTCCATCTTACAGCATGTTGACTGAAACAGCTGCTCCATTTTTTGCTGCTCCCTCCAATGATAGTTCACATTCTTTAGCCTTTCTGTCTATGCCTGGGATTGTTGTGACTGTGTAGTTAGGCTGTAAGTCTCGGTTGTATGCCTGAATAATTTCCCACGCTAAAGGATCTTTAGAAAGGATGTCACTGTTTTTGGTGCAGAACAATTTTAATAGATAGTGAATGCTTTGACAAAGATGAAGACAACACACTCAAGGCTATTTAGCTAGCAGGTTGATCGTCCTAAATGTATATTGACACATTCAGTCCAGAAATGTTCAGATCCCCTCCTCAGTATATACCCCTTGTGTAGTGACTTACACACCAATTATGTTCTCACTACCTTCTTTAGCTTAGAGATTTGGTCTTAATCACTTTTTGACTTTCTCTTCTTAATATTATCATCCTACTGCATTTAGGGCAATCGGTATTATCACCTGATTCATTGCCTGTTTACTTTCCACAGTTCAGCGAGCCTATTGACTTGTTTCCTCTTACACCCACTCATACAGCATAAAAATTGCACTTTTTGTTTTAGGTTTGACTTCCTCAAAGACTCTAATAACTGTCTTCGGGCAGTCTTCCAGAAAATTTGCTTTAAAAAAAATATATTTGCTGTCTACATAACCATTTTTTTAAGACAGTGTGGGAAGTCTTGAGGATTCGGCTTAGGATTTAGCACCATATGGCAAGTGCGAGTGTCTTGATTTGTGCTGGTCAGCAGTTGTGATTTTGCTGCCAAAAGAAATTTTATTAATAAAAAAAAAAAAGTTTTGTTGGATGTCTGTAATCATGCTTGAATTTGTATGCGTCTCAAAATAAAACCTAAAAGAGATATGATTGCTGTTTAATTGATTGGTTGTCTTCAGGACACCCTGCCTCAAGAACTACAGGAGGATAATGGTGCTGAATCGTGGAAACCATTGGAGGAGACAGTTGACATTACAAAAGTAAAACAGGAACCAGAAGATATGGATGTTGATAAGCAGCCTCAGACAAGTAGAGATAATGCTGTTGAAGATGAAGATGAGGATGAGAAAACAAAGGCAATCAAGAAGCTTCCTGTCACCCACGCAAGAGGTTTAATGAGCACACTTATTGGATTAATTGGACCGGAGGCTCAAAACAAGAAACCTGAACCATTACCTCCACCAAGACCTATGAAATGTAAGTAACTTAGTAAAAGTGCTATATTGATTATTTTACGTAAATTTGTGACACACTTTTAGGTAGGGGGCAGAGTGAACTAAGAAAATAGTGTATAAATTTTAAAAAAGTATAGACCGAGATGAAAAGATATATTAGCCAGCACAAAGATGGGTTTAGGACATACAAGAGATTTCTTTGGGTGAGAAAGGGAATGAAGTGGGAGAGCTGGCAAGGGACATGTTCATTTAGGGCAGGTTCTGATGGGAGGGACATTCCGTAAAGGATCTGCACATGATAATGATGTAATAGAAAACCAGTAATTTTTTTAAAATAATTTGACAGATTCTATTATGTGTCCCTCCACTGTTTCCCTTCATTTGTTTTACAGATGGTACTTTTTTTCCTTCTGACTGGCTTCATAATCAGATGTAAAGCTGCCCTTAAAAAATACACTTACGTGACCTAATTAACATATAAAAATGGCCACCAGCTCACTATTTTCAAACAAAACATTATACCTGTATGGTTATCCGCCAGCGAGCCTGGCAACATGCATATCAAATTGAGCGTCCCGACAAGGTGAACACAAAGATCATAAAAATATACCAAGGTCAGTCGACATGACCTAATTAACATATGAAAATAGCCATCAGTTGACTTTCTTTCAGCAAAAACCTCATACATTTATTGTTGTCTGCCAATGAGTACTGGAACCAACAGGGGCATAAAAATATACAAAGACCATAAAAACGCATGCAGAAGGGAGCTAGAAAGTGAAGTTAAAAAGATAGGGAAGACACTAAGAGCAAATGTAATAGCAATGACTATAATGACAACGTGAGTTGATTGAGGACTAATGCCCCATTAGGGCATAGAAGGCAGAAGAAAAAAGACACAGTTTGGCAATATGTTTTTGAACAAAATTGACATAGAAAGCGTATGAATGTGAATGTCTTTACAACACGAAGCACCTAAAAGTATCAACTAGTAATTATGCCATAGTGAGAAATGAATGATAATGTGCATACATGAGGGATAACAATAGATAGCACTAATGTACCGTGGGATTTTGATGTGATTATACATTCACCACAGCTTCTCCGGAAAACAACAGCTATTGTGTAATTAAAAAATTAAAAAAATTATTGTAGCATCCATGTTTGCCCAGCATCCTTCTTGCCATGACTGTAAATATACAATATAACTATTATAAAAAATACATAAGGAATGTCATATTGGAATTAGGTACTTTCACTTGTAATAAACACAATTATACTCTTATACTTTTAGATTAAGTTTTATATGCTTTGTTCTAAAAAAAATGTTACATTCAGTGCCAGAATTTGTGAAATTCGTGTTCAAGATATGGGCAGGTAAAAATATCTCCAACATAAAATTCTGTAAGCTCTAAATAATGACAAACACATGAAAAAATGGTACAATGTTTGTGGATGTTTAAAAAGTTACTCACATAACATTGTCAATTTACTAAGCATCCTAAGTTAATTACCAAAGAATCATCTTACCAATGATGGCCTAAATTAATTACTGGGATTTGGGAGTGATCAGGCAAAAATATCTCCTACAGAGTACGAAGGGCTCTAAATAATGACAGATGCATGAACAAATGCTACAATGGTTGTAGATTTAAAAAAAAAAATGATTAAAATAACCTTAGCTAATTTAAAAATTATTTTCAGTTAATTATAAAGCGGAAAAAACGGTCTCCTAGTGCAAACATATTGGATTTAAAGCGAAAACAGTGATGCCACTACACAATTTTTTTAAACATCTGCACCATTGCCAATCTTTGTGAAATTTCCCACACTATATAAAAAATTAACGCAGAATTCAAAAATACACCACACATTGCGGTAATCTGGCTAATTAAGAAGATATTTACAAAATTACTTACCGTTATTGTATTTGAAGTGAAAACAGTGATGCCACTAAACAATTTTTTTAAGCATCTGCCCTATTGCTAATCTTTGTGAAATTTTCCCACACTTATATAAAAATTAACGCAGAATTCAAAAATACAACACACATTGCTGTAATCTGGCTAATTTAAGAAGATATTTACGGAATTACTTACCGTTAATTCACTGCGTGCTGCCAAAAAAATTGATTTATTTTATACGTATCAAAACCATCTCAGGTCAAGCCTGGCATCTCTCCAATAACTCCTAACAACTGTGCCGATTTTATCTTTCACGTAAAGAGCACAGAAAATAATTTCTCAATAGCGGACAATTCGTTTTGCATTTTCGGGTCGCAGTCGCGTCTATAGTTACCGACGAAAATGTATAGCAAAATAAACGAAACAAAACAACCCATTGCTATACCTATATATAGTTAAATTACCTTAGCCATTTGTTTTTCAAATGTATTATTTGTGTGAATGCTTTGACAGTTTGTATATCTTAGTTACAGAAGCGATAATTTTTTTATTTTACAGTGGAAGACGATATTCAGAAGTATCTAGGTCCAGCCAAACACAGTTCTACACATGCAACATCTACCATAAGTGAGTCGGCATTTCTGGAAAATGGCATCACTGCGAGCATGTTGGCGGAAGCAAACATGGAAATTAACTACGATGACAGAAACTTGTTTCCAGAAGACATTGGACGGGATACATCAAGACCTGAATTTTACTGCAAGGTGCATACATTTTAAGACTTGTAAATTAATCTGGTAATTTACCATGAGTTCTTTTAGATTAATGTTGGAGATTAGTTAATCCAGCAGTTTATTGGTGAGTATCTAAGATTGAGGTTGTGAGTTCATTCAGTTGTTTATCAGATTATTTTAGATTGTGGTTGTAACTGAATTAATACAGTGGTTTACCACTATCTAAAATGAAGTTGTAAGTGAATTAATTCACTTGTTTACCAACTGTCATCTTGAATTGTTGTAAATGAGTTTACCCAACAAATATGTCTTTAAGATTGTGGTAGTAAATAAATTGATCCAGTGGTTTGACGATGAGTAACTAAGATCAAGGTTGTAAATAAATCAATACAGTTGTTTACCACTAAGTATTTGAGATTGTGGTAGTAAATGAATTTATCCAGGCATTTACCAATGATCAAAATTTAATATTCGAAGTAAATTAATCTAGTGTTTTACCATTGTGTATCTTTGACTGTTTCTAAATGAATTAATCCAGTGGTTTACCAAGTGTAAAAGATTATAGTGAGGAATCAGTGGGGTTTACCATTATGTTTGTAAATAAAATAATCAAATGGTTTACCAATAAATATCTAGAATTACGCTTGTAAGTGAAATAATCCATTGGTTACCAAAAGAGTTATACTTATTCTTTCTTTTTTTGTAAAATCTGTATTAAAAAAAAAAGAAAGAAAGAAATTCCCTTCTTACCTATTTCTTTGTTGAAAATTTATTTCTTTCAGAACTGTATGACTAGAGTGTTATTTAGTTACTAAATCTGTAAGTACAGACACTCTATAGCAAATGTTTTAAACTGATGCTCTGTAGCACCTTAAAGGCCCTGCATGCACTTTTCATGAGCTCCTTTTTTTTTAAAGTTCAAGAGCCGATTAAACTTTAAACAAAAAATTCTGAAATTGAGAGGTAAAATAATCTTCTTTCTTTCGCTGGAAATAGATTATCTATATCTGCAAGTCTGTCTCTAGTATGAACTTCACTGTCTGTTGTAATTCAGTCAGCGGCCCGTAAAGTTTGGCTTGCACTGGTGTTTCTCGTGGCCAAAAATGTGGCCTTGATATTTTGTGCCTGGGACAATCTTGGAGGATGTGATCTGTTGTCTCAGGTGCTAATCCACATGTACACATGGCTGATTCAGTAATCTGAAATTTTCTGTACATGTGGCTGCGAAATCAATTGTGTCCTGTTTTAAGGCATAGAATAATGACTTGCTCTAGTCTTTCCATTATATGGTAATCATCTTTTGCTGGTTGCTCAGTTCAGAGAGTAGTTTCCGAATACCTGGTAATTTTCACGAATACCACAGGTTGTGAAATCTGACATATATTTAGCAGTTTTTCTGCTGCTGTTTTGATAGCTTGAACTTCTGCATCATAGTTGTGACTGTGCTTTCCTGTTGGTATATTGGCTGTATATCTGGTATTTGGATGTTCAATCTACACAATGTGTAATAATGTAAAGCCTTCTGAGTTTATGGAATTGGTGACTGTATTTTATGATTGTTGATTTCAGCTGTGCCAGAAGCAGATGACTTCACTTGGAAATTTCCGGGACCACCTCAATGGCAAAAGTCATAAATCAGTAAGTAAACAGTGAACCATCATATCTCCTTCCCAAATATTACTTATATTATCGGTAGGCATTGTGTTTTATGATTGTGTAAGTTGTTTTTCATAAGAGTCAGATAGACTGATTGTGACTTTTAATAGTGGATTTGATTTCTTTGTTTAAGATGGCAGTGAGCAATAGCTAGTCTATTGTTGCACTTCAGAATCTCACACATATAAAAATCAAAATTGGCGTACTTTGACTTGGAAAATGGTGCATAGTTTGATTTGGATCAACTAAGAAAATTGATTGTTAAATAAAATATACAAAATTTCACTTGTGGCCAAGAAGAACTTGATGCTAGAAATTATAATGAAAAACAAAAAAAAACCAAATATAAGCTACAGATTTAATGCATTTTTGTGCTTATTCATATTATAGGCTTCTGGTATCTACCCAGCTTGATATCTGTGATACCCTGTGTTGGTTTCTGGGCCCCAGTTGTGAGGGGGGGGGGGGAGGGGTTAACTAGACCCACTATTGTCCCTCCCCCTAAAAGCATGTCATAGGAGGCGACTACTTAGGAGTGTTTTCTTTGAAGTTATAATGCATGTGTCTGAGAGGCAAGAAACCAACAGTCTGCATACAAATAAGATTAATCTGTAAATTGGGTGTGCACACAAAACTGAAATTCTGGAACAAGACCAAAATCCAAAAGTGGACAGTTTGTGTGTGTTAGTTCAGAAGCAATAATTATTTCACTGTGAAAGATGATGTTGAGATGTATCTAGGTCCAACAAAACACGGTACTATACATGCAACCCCTATTATAAGTGAACAACCAGAACTTTCTACAAAGGTGTACAGCTGGTGAACGCTAAAAAAAGAAGAAGAAGAAAGCCAGTATTTATACTCTTTTGCCACATAGTTCACATAAACATACAAGGTGCCTGAACATCATTTATATAACATTGACACGAAACAAACGGTCGAGGAAATCGAGGCAGTGTTCCAACATTGTACATTTGAACAAAGACCCTAAGCACAGTTTGTACGTGTTAGTATTTCATTTAACAGGATTAATTTAATTGCTTTATAATTTTGTGACCCCAGAAAACTGATGATATACAAATATGCCTGGCAGTAAACTGGTTGTGTCCTTGATCAAATCAAGGACATGTTTGCATAAAAACCACAGTTATTATAAGCCTTTAAGTTTGTTTTTTTTTTTTTTTTTTTTTTTTTGTCTAGTACAAAACTTGCATCTTTTAAAAAAAAATATACATTCAAATTACAAGATGAACTTTGACTTACAGTGACTTAAAAAAAATATCTAAATATTAGTCACTGTGACATAAGTACATGAATGCTTTTAAATAGCAGATGTGAAAATAAAAAATAGGTGTGATTTCAAGTGAATTAGGTGACCATTGTGTGCCACCTTCAGAAAAGAAGTAATAAAACATTCACAAGTGTCTTGTACAGTTATGATATCTAACATGTATTTTCTTTTGTAGTGTTGTGACAATGCATTGTTACAAACAGTGCATTATTACAATGCATTACAAGCATTGCATCATTATAAAACACTGTATTGTTAGGTAAATAAAAGTAGTTGCACAATGTTGTAGAAATGAGAGCTAGTTACATAATTTTATAATCGGTAGGACTGCTTCCTTTTTTCACTTGTGTATTATTGAGGTTAAGTAAAAGACCCTGCCTATGCCAGTGGTCTATGGACATATTATGCTAGACTCATATTTGTAAAGACCATTCAGTGGGCGGTGTGGTCAATGTCAAGCTGACCACCTTAACTCACCTGGATATTACCTGGTATCCACGTTAGGCTGGTTTAACCTGGGGCTAAAAATCTGTGTCAATGAAGATTCAAACCTAAAACCTTTGGGCCTGCTGGCAGGGAAACATGTAGACCAGAGCTGTTCAACTAAGTGTAGAAAATCATCATGGGCCAGAATAGCAAGGCCCAGTGTAGAATGATCACGGTTTAGGCTGTGATCTGTGGGTCTCTTGCTAGGCCTTTGTGGGTTAGAGACGGTCCGCATACCTCCAGTTAAATAGCTCTGGTGTAGATCATGAAGGTAATTTAACAGATGTAGACACCATGATTTAGAAAAACCACTAGTAGATGGTAGAGTTTCTGGAAAAACAGGTAAGGGGATTGTCATCATGAAGGTGGACTCAAAATATTAATTGTTTTACTCACAGATAGTTGCAACTTTTCTTTCCCAGAGATTTTGCACTGAAAGCTTGATCTCATTGTGTTTGGAGGAGTTCAGAATGAGAAATTATAAGACAAGCAATGAATGAAGCTCAGCTTGAATAGAGTCAGTTTGTGAAACAGCTGTATGTGATAGAAGCGAATGTGATCATTAACTTATCTTTACAGTGACCAAGAAATGTGTTTTGTGACATCTAGGCCAGCAGACAAGCTACCAGCATATGTGTTCCTTTGACTACTAATTTTGTGTTTTAAGAAATGTATTTATTCTACACGTTATATTTAAGTGCAGAAAGTAAGTAAAAGTTTTTTTTTTTTTTTTAGCAAAGACACGTTTGTGCGTTCATAGCATTAAAACAGTAATAGAGTGCCTCATGCATTACATCAGTTAGATATTTATATATCTACTCATGAGACAGAAATGTGTTTGACTACAAATGTGTATTCTCTAGCACTGGCGTGCTCAGCTTACAGAGATTATTATTTTCTATGCATTTACAGTTTACAGACATTGTAGTGTAAAGATTAGAATTTTGTGAGGGATTTAGGTAAAGAAAACTTCAAAACAATTTGTGTAATTTTTGTGTTTCATTTGCAGATGCTCGAAGCCGCCAAGATGGGCACCAGTAAGTTCCAGTCAGCAAAGCAGAATCCTAATAAAATGAATCTGTTTCTTCATTTTTCTCCATGAAAAGAGATTTAAGCTAAATATTATTAAGAAATTAGAGCATGTGCTATTTCACGGGCCTTTGCAAAGACAAGGAGGGTATAAATCAAGTATAGTGTAAATTTAACATGGTGATTAAAAGTAGGGCTATACCAAATAGTGATTTTCACTATTCGGCCGAATACGAATAGCGGGACCAACTATTCGGCAGAATACAAATAGGGTATAGTGTATAAAATATATCTAAAAAACACACACATTTTCATCATGTCAAATGTACGCTGAACTTTTACTTCACAAAGTAGCACAGAATAGTCATCTTTTACTTTAGCATTCTGAGCCCTTGATTTTTATTGTTGCAGATATCACTCGTCTCCATTCATTTCTCTGTCTGGACTTATCTTCACAATTTGTGACACCAGTTGTTTGCAGGTCTGGCTGGACATTATCTCTCGAACTTCTTTTTTGTCTGCCTCGTTGTCTACGCCCATTCCTCTCTCATGTGTATACAGTTTTTACTTCTCTGTCATCTGACATGCTTTCAATATGCCCCAGCCATTTTAGTCTGTTAGCTCTCATGATGCCAGTGATCAATGGTGATTTAAACAGATTATGTGTTACGTTGTTGCTTCTCACTCTCCATTCCCTGCTGTTAGCATCTTTGACGGGTCCAATGATTTGTCGTAATACTGTTTTCGAAAACCTATAATAAGACCTCATCTCTCCTATTTCTGCTTTAAGTTTCAGAGCCATATAAAACGACTGGTCTTATCAACGTTTTATATATTTTGATCTTGTTTTTGCGAGACACTTTGACTTTAGCAGATGTTGAAGGGCATAGTATAATTTATTTCTAGATTGTATTCTAGATTGTATTTCTTCTCTCAGCATGTTGGAGCAGTTGAAGTTTGCACCCAATTACTTATATGTTTCCGTTCGTTTGATTTTCATATTATCGACTTGGATGTGGCCGGAGTTTATATTCTTTCCATGTCTAGTTAGTATGCGTACAGAATAGTAAACATTTAAAAACATTTTATGTTTTGCATCATTCAGTCAGTCTGTGGTAACTAATAACTAGGAATGAAAGAATCCTAAGTACTATAACAAGTAACTAAACTTGGAAATTGTCACTGACAGCTTAGTTAATGCAGGAAAGCTGCATTAACTTTCAACAAAACCAATCGTTCCATGTTGTCAGCATTACGGCTGTGTATGCAGAAACGGGTGTAAGGTAACTATTATTCGTATTCGGCCCGACCGCAACTATTCGGGCGGAGCGAATATTCGGTACAGCCCTAATTAAAAGTAGATATCTTTTTAAAAAAACACAAAAGAATATTAGAGAGAAGATTTCATGAAGAACATATACAACTTGATAATATAGACTTTAGAAATGTAACGTAGATAATAGAGAAAGAAGAAGAAGCAGATTTTTTTAGATTATAGTCACTGGATATTCAGATGAGTTACGAGAAACACAGAAAGATATGCTTGTGCTCAGCCAAGCATTCTCTTTCTTGTTGAAGCTTAAGGCTTGGATTTGTATCTGTGGTAACTTACCATGGGCATAATACTCCAAGTTTGTCAACAGGTGAGCAGTATCTAATTCAAAAAATTTTCTGCACAACGAAGCTTTAGAGGTGGCAGGTCAGCTCATGGAGAAATGCTGTGGGAGTTTGCTCTGTCTAATGCTCTGCCATTCAGAACAAACCCCCTTGAATTGTTAGATGTGTGGCTATAGGGAAGGCTTTGTTTTCCCTAGAAAAAAAAAAGGTGCCAAGGTGCTGGTACTCATGAGAAAGTGTCCAGAAAAGGTATCGGAACTCGCCACAAAGTGTCTTTTTCAGTAACAGGAAAAAAATGCCTAAAAGTGTCAGTACCACTGCAAAAAAGCTGTGGAGATCGGTAATTATATGAAACAACTGCTCAGGATTTTCGGCACTGATAATGAAAGTTTCAGCATACATAACTAGCAGAGAGAGATGGGCTGGCACGATAGCACAGTACAAGATGACTTGGTTTGAGTTGATGGAGGGCCTATGCTCTATTCTGAGAATAATGGAAATAATGAGAGATGTGTTGAAGTATTCCATTACTGGTGTTCATTTGGAAATTTGTGATGAACCAGTATAGTTTTCACATTTCAGAAGGAAATCACAAAGATAAATTTATTTTAATTTGGTAAAAATTAGTTCTATCAGGAAAGTGCAGTGGATACAAGAAACTGGATTTAAGTTTATTTGACTGCTCATTATCAAATTTCCAGAAAATTACCGGAAACTAGGATTTTCTCGTATCTACTATGTTGGAAAGTTCTGTCCTTCACAGTCAGAAGTTTCCAACTGAATTATAAACATGACCAGTTTAAGAAGTCAAGATGGCTGTTGCACACTGGTGGTCAAGAAAACACAAATCTAAGAGCTTGTTTTTTTCTTGTCTGATTAAAAACAAGCTACTAGAGTTAGATCTGCCTCAGCAAAGTAATTGTTAAAGTTTATTGCTTCATTAAGTGAGGATAAACTTTAACAAAGTACATTACATGCAAGTTGAGTGACTACTGTTTTAGTAGATTATTAAAGATGTTATAATTTTCTGCATTATCTAATGATGCATTATTTTAACTAGGTTAATAATAATAAATACAGAGGTTTTTTTTTTCTGTCTGTGCAAAACAGAGATTGTGAAGTTGAAAGAATTGACCTTATAACATAAGTTGGTAATAATACAACATAAAAGTTGCATAACAAATCACTTAACTTTTTAAGTATCTGAAGTGTCCAGGTATATGGGATCTGTAGGAAGAGACTGGAGCACTTGAGAAGATACCCTTATGTTATCTTTAGGAGTCTGGAGCACTTAAGGAGATTCCTTTTGTGTGGTATATAGGTCTGGAGCACTTGAGGTACCCTTTGTGTGGTCTATAGGAGGAAACGGAAGCACTTGAGTAGATACCCTTTGTCTGGTCTATAGGAGGAGACGGGAGCACTTGAGGAGATACATTTTGTGTGGTCTGTAAAAGGAGACCGGAGCACTTAAGGGAAAACTTTTTCGTTGTCTGTAGGAGAGGACAGGAGCACGAGGAGACACCCTTTGTATGGTCTGTCGGAGGATATGAGAGCTCTTGAGGAGACACCTTTTTCGTGGTCTGTAGGAGAAGACTGGAGCACTTTAGGAGATACCCTTCGTGTGGTCTGTAGGAAGAGATGGAAGCACTTTAGGAGATACCCTTTGTGCAGTCTGTAGGCGGAAATGGGAGCACTAGAGGAGATGCCATTTGTGTGGTCTGTAGGAGGAAATGGAAGCACTAGAGGAAATACCATTTGTGTCGTTTGTAGGAGGAGATAGGAGCACTTAAGGAGATACCTTTTGTGTGGTCTATAGGAGGAGACAGGAACACCTTAAGAAGATACCTTTGTGTTGTCTATAAGTGAAGAGGAGCACTGGAGGAAATACTCTTGTACAACTAAAGTGATCCTCTACAAATCAGACAGTAAAACTGAAACATGATCTCCAATCACAAACTATAAAAGAAACTTTTAACACTCTAAGATATGTTTTCTCAAAATATACGTCAGCACCTGTGACTTAGGAGTTATAAACAGTTTCATAATCCCGACATATCAATTTTTATTCAGCTGTAGGCAGTTTATTAGCAGACCACTTTACATTAAGTTGCAACCATAGCATGAACATTGAACCTGTCAAGCAATGGCAAACCACTAATCTAAAATTTCCTGGTAAAACATGAAATAGCACATACATACTTGGTTGTTTTCTGATGTTCTTTAGAAGGATATGTAGTTGGTTATTTTTATTTTAAGCAATCAGATAACAGAAGAAACATGAACCAGTTTTTTTTTTTTCAAGTCAAGTAGACTGTTGGTTCAAGGATTGGAAATGCATCCAAGTCTTTTTTTTTAAAGAAACAAAATGTGGCAAAAACCAAAGGAAAAGGAAGATCGATTTTCAGAAACTACGCTGAACAGATGTACAAAGAGGCTGAAGGTTCGGACATAAAGCAGAGCTGGAGAAAATGGCTGTGGCTAACACCTAACACGTTAAAGTAACTTCAGATGCCATTATTTGGGCCCAGCTGGCAAAATTACTTTATGAGATATTTTTAATATTCCTCTTTATCATAAAGTGTTGAAGTGTTCATGTCACAAGGAGTTTTAATTTGTATAATGAGATGGTGTTATTAAAGTTGTATAGATATGCCCTGTTAAATAGATTTAATTCTGACATCACTTTTTTGGTCTCCCCTTTGTGTAGAGAAGCTCCCAAAAGGAAAGAAGAAGGCTGTGAAACCTGTGTCTGAACTTGGACAGAAGTCTGTGTGTCTGGATGTTGTTGAAGGTGCAACAGAACCTATTTTAGGTATGCTGAATACTTTCTGTTAAATTGTGTCTGCTAGTGTGGTAACAAAAACTGTTACCTTTTATTGAAGCAGCATAGTTTGAACCAGACACGAAGCTAACTAGGAACAGCTGTAGAGATAACGGATGGTTCTTATCAGCAGGAAATTCAACAGATCAGGACAAATAGGCTGCTATTGAGACTAGGTCAGGACAGATAGGCTGTTGCCGAGACTAAATTTTGAGATTAGACAAAAGCAAGAGAATAAGGTATGATCAGCTGACAGTGGCCGGTCACTTGATGTATGTGGCAGAAGTTTAGGACATAATTTAAATTAATAGTCTGTTGAATGTTAAGAAGGTTACTGTGCATTTGGGATAGTTGTATGAGTCGCACTGTGGCAGAGATTGGGACCTCAACTTGTAATATTCCAAAAGTTAGCAGTTTTCCATATAGCATATCTCTGCTGCAGACAACTTCCATTGATGAGAATTGGGAGAGTGGGGGATATTTATATCTTAACATTCAACTGTAGTTGTACATAATGAATGTGCGTAGACCCACTGCAATCTAACAACCATGTCGTAAAAAGAGACTAGTTAGGGATGTTTCCTTCTCTGTCAGAGTGCATCTGCCAGAGAGGCAGGGAACCAGCATTCTGCATATATTTTAAGTAAGCTAGATCTTATCTATAAAAAATTAAAACACTCAAGTTCTGAGACAAGGCTAGAGTCCAGAAGTATACGAACAGCCATAAATTTCCACTGGAGTTTAGAGCCTGTAAATGCTAGGAATGATAAGAATACACTGAGATCAAAATAGTAATGAAAATGTCTTGAAAGAAACTAAGTCACAAAAAGAGCCGATTACCCACCTCAGAAAGAGACGGTCAGTATTCTTTGGTCATGACACACTAGGAAAGTTAAAGGTGAGGAGAGGCAGAGGGAGACTAAGAGAGAAGATGCTGGACAGTTTGACATCATAACATGGAAGATCGTGTGTGTGAGAGTTGATTAAAAGTACATGGAACAGAAAATTGTGAATAGACATGACAAAAAATGCCACATGGCATGAAAAGAAGAAGAAGAAATGCTAAGAAGCAGAAGAGTTGTTATTTCCCACACTAGTAGCAGTATTTGTTATGTGCTTGCATTGCTTTATACCATAACTGAGGTTATCTCTTTTCTTCCATTAGAATCTTTGTGGTAAAGTGATCAGGCCATTCCACTCAGACTGTTAAGGTTGTAGGTTCATTCTGAGACTGTTTTGTTCATTTACGAATGACATTGTTTTGGTAGATCTCAGGATCGTTGCAGGAGCTATGAATTTGTGCTTTATCTGATGCTCTTGTCATGCAGCAATCTGCTGTGTGGAGTGTACCATAAAACTTGGTGTAGTGAAATCAGTCTCCTTGCCTTTAACCACCTTACTCTTGTGAGATTACTACAAAACCCTTATTATGTGGTGACCCACAAACAGTTATTTTCCTTCATAACTTCCATGAATATGTGTTTTCGAATGGTCTTAGGCGACCCATGCGAAAGGGTCATTCGACCCAGAAAAAAGGTTGCGACCGGCGGTTTGAGAACCGATGCTCTAAGGTGTTCTAAGGTCTCCCACTGCTCTTTAACAAGCATTTCGTAATACACCACTAATTAAGGATTTTCTCACGAAAAGGGTAGATATCTGTTAATTACAGGACTGTGTGATGACTACATTTTTAAGATCAAATGCAGGAGAAGATCTACATCATTTATAGACTGTAGGCAAAATGACTAATTAGTGAAATGCTTGCCATTGTTCAGATTTGTCTTTTTGTGTGCAAAATGACCAATACCTGAAGCTGTTGCCATTGTTCAGGTTTGTATTTTGTCTGGAAAATGACTGATCCATGAGATGCTTGCCATTGTTCAGGTTTGTCTTTTTTGTGCAAAATGACTAATCCATGAAGCTGTTGCCATTGTTCAGGTTTGTATTTTGAATGGAAAATGACTAATCCATGAGACGCTTGCCATTGTTCACGTTTGTCTTTTTTGTGCAAAATGACTATTCCATGAAGCTGTTGCCATTGTTCAGATTTGTCTTTTGTATGGAAAATGACTAATCCATGAAACCGGTCATCGTTCAGGTTTATCTTTTGTATGGAAAATGACTAATCCATGGAACTCTGACCATCATTCAGGTTTATCTTTCATCACGGAGTACCACAGTGTCACTGGAGTAGTTTGTGTCTGCAACCTTTGTTCTGTGAAGTTTGACCAAAATATTGTCGTCTCCCATACAACTGGCTGTAAACACAGGTTACGCTATATGGTAAGAAAACATATTGTTTCACAGTCAGATGATTTTGTGTAGTCTTATGAGGTTTACCTTTCTGTTAAAATTTCTTTAACTTTCCCGTCTGGGTTCCAGGGCCCCATTGGGGGGAAAACAAGAATAGACCCACTGCCTACTCAAAAGAGGTCATACGAGTCGACTAATTGAGAGCTTGCTTCACAGTCATGCATCTGCCTGAGAGGCAAGGAACCAACAGTTCTCATACAAATGAGTCAGAACTGTTAAAAGGATGTGTGCGCAGCACTCCAGTTCTAGAACAGACTAGAGTCCAGAAGTGGACGAACAACCAGAACTTTCCGCTAGAGTTTACAGCCGTTGAACATAAAGAAGAAGAATTTCTTTACTCTTTATAATAGTTCTGACAATATTCGGGTATAACCAAAAGCTAAAGATGGCCTAATGAATAATTGATTTTTCCATACTGTTCATCCACTGCTATTTGAGGACATAAAATTAAAGAAATGTTGATTATTTACTTTGATCTTTAAATGTTGGCCATTTGTGCATGCCGTTTAAGGAAAATTCAAAATTTTCCCTTATTAAATTATTAGAATATTTATTTTAGGACATGTACAGAAATTTAAGTATCTAGGCACATGGATAATATCCGATGGAAGATGTACCACAAAAAATAGAATAGGTCAGGCCAGAACTGCATTTTGTAAATGAAGAACATTGTGCAAATAAACCCAAGTCATTGGAGGTTAGGAAAAGAATTTGTGTGTGCTATATGGAGCCAGTTTTAACATAGGACTGGGACGCCTGGACAATAAATAACCAAACCTAACAATATCTTAAAGCCTCAGAGAATCCTTGGAATACCTTGGACAGCTAAGGCTACATGATGTTTGAAAGAGGCGAGTGCTCAAAGACAACTTATCACAAACATTAGAAAAAGACAATCATCATTTTTTGGTCATGTGATAAGAAGAGGGAAAATGGAACATGTTGTGACCACTGGAAAGATCTCTGGAGAGAGAGACAGAGAAAGACAGCGTGAGAAGACTCTTTACTGTTGTTGTTGTCATGGCATAGAGGAATGTAACACAAGAACTGATACATTCAGTTGAGGATCGCAAATTATGGAGAGACATGATCGCCCACACCAGTCAGCAAGGCCCTTGGTGATATTATAGAATTATAGAAAGGAAGCTAGATGTGAATATGACAGTTGTATTTAGAGGCAAGAGAATTAACTTCATTACACTAAATTTGGTCTTTCATGACTCAGTCTCTCTCTGCTGTTTGCCCTCTGAGAGAATCATACAAAAAGTAGAACTTTGTAGCTCCAGCATCAGCCCACAGAAATATAAAGGAAATCTAAACTTGTACAGGACAGGATCCAAAATGAAAACCTCAAGCCTAATGGTGTGATACAAGTAGCTTAATTACTTCACCATAAAAACACTTAAGGGGGCGTGTAAGTGTCTGAAAGACATGACAAAATTATAGGCAGTATATATATCCTAGTCAAACACAGAAGCGATGAACAAGATGTAGTCAGTAACAGGACAGCATCAAAAGTTAGTATACATACATTAGTATAAATACTACTCCTCAGGGGGTCTGTGGTGAAGCCAACGGCCTTGAGCTCTGAAGGTCATGGGTTCATTTCACTGCTGTGCCATTCAGTTCATGAGTGCAGTTTTTATGGAGATCCCCGGGGATTATTGCCGGAGCTACAGAGTTTGTGATTTGTACAACGCTCTCCAGGCGGCTAACTTTTGCGGAGAGAGACCAAGCCATATGGGATAAAACCTGGTGCAGTGAAGTCGATCCTCTCGACTTTAACCTTTAACCTTTTATACTACTCAGCAGCAATAAAATGTCAAATTCTTTCACTCACGTCTCTCTCTCTGAGTAATATATGAAAGTGTTGCAGTGCTGTGACATGCCCTTTCTTTAATATTATTTGTCCATGATTTTCTCTCATCCCATCTCCTTCCTCCCTCTGTCTCTGTCCTTTTTCCTCTTTCCCTACACCTCCTTCTCTCCCACACTACTTCATCTTCTCTGCCCCTCTCACTTTCCTTTCTTCCCTGCTCTGTCCTTTATCAGGCATCATTTTAAATTACATGTACAACTTACTTAGGCAAGTTTTATACATTCTTCTTCGCTTACCAGAGGATGTAAATGCTTTGTGCCTGTTGACATCATTACCATATTTGCGCCTTTTAGCTGACACGTCTGACTTCTGCGGGCATCTGTTCCCTGGGTTATCTCTCCCGGGACTTATACATTCTATAATTATTATTAACTAATTATTTACTGGCAAGTAACTAATAAATGTCATGGTTTTTAAACATGCACTTCAGAGGGAGAAGAATCCTGCTGTCTATGTGCATCTGAAAAAATTTGGTGGCAAGAAGTCACAGCTGACAACATTCCTTAGTGATATTTGTGTTGGAGTGGAAAAAGAGGATGGTCGTGGAACTCCAGCCATTAAGGTAAGCTATGTAATGTTTTTTACCATCAGATTACACTGTTTACATAGCACCTAGCTTTTTGTGTACTTCTTTCTCCTCCTCCTCCTCCTCCTCCTTCTTCTTTGCCTTAATCTTTTTTTTCTTCCTCCTCCTCATTCTCCTCCTCCTCTGGTCTTGTTCTTTCTTTCAGCATCAGGTTTTGAAGAGGTATTGGGTTCGATCCTTGGTATAGAACTGAACTTGGTCATAGGTCGAGGAGACCATGTATATGTGTGTGTTTGTGTGTGTATACATACATACATACATACATACATACATACATACATACATACATACATACATACATACATACATACATACATACATACATACATACATACATACATACATACATACATACATACATACATACATACATACATACATACATACATACATACATACATACATACATACATACATACATACATACATACATACATACATACATACATACATACATACATACATACATACATACATACATACATACATACATACATACATACATACATACATACATACATTCACACGCACACACAGAGAGAGAGTCTCCAAGTTCTATTTCGACTAACATGTCCTGAGAGGAATTTCTATTTTTCAACACTATTTTAATTCAAGCAGGTTATACAGATTGTAAATAAAACATAACATATCCAATCTTGTTCATATAATTATTGTAAATAATGTGAAAAAATACATATATTCTCAATTATGTCAGTTCTGGAAACTCTTAGACCCTAACTGTGTAGTTATCTCACTTTGTTCACTATCATGTCAGCCACCCTTATTTCCCAGGACATTTTACCTAGTTAAGGCTGTAACTTATTGTTAGGCTGGGTCATTCTAGGAGTAGAGATTAAACTCTCTGTACCAGTAGGTTTTCACAGGAGATGCTAAAGCAAAGAAATGACTAATGAAAAATGACTATGCATTACTTGCACAGTTAATTACCATAAGCTAGATTTCTTTAGTACTTTCTGACTAAATGTTGTCAGTAAAAGAACACAGTATGCTATTGAGAGTAATCAAGAGATAGTCACCCTCACACCAGGCATTGCTTAGGATCGAAAGAGTTAATATTTAGCAAAATTCACTTCACCCAGTGCAGATTCAGACAGGGAACCTCTGAATGAGCAGGCAGTCAGTATAGCCACTGTTTACATCTTCCTCCTATGACATTAATAATATTAGTCATAGTAAATGACCCTTTTCCACGGCTAGACTTAAAGGCACTGGGTGGGTGATGTTATCATCATCACGCTGGCTGTCTTTACTTTCCAGGACTGTACCTGGTACCCACTCAGTGCTGGGTCGACCTGAGAGCCAAAGTCATTTTTTTTTTCCTTTAAAGAAAAAATCCAACTCTGTCAGGACCCAAATCCATGACTTTCTGATCCACAGGCGAGCATCTAGCTGCCACACCACCGCGGATCTTATTAATAATAATAACAGTTATAATTTATAATATCTTCTCTTATCTTTGCATTATTTTATCTTCATCATCAGGTATACCACCCTGACAGGATGGATGAGGAGGAAGATTCATTGAATCGGGATGAATATGAGAACAGGCGATTGATAAATCAAGCCGTTAAAAAAGCAAATGTGGATGATAAGGATCTTGAATCTGTTGACTTCCAGGACTGGGTTAATAGAGGTGAGTCGTTAAGGCATGTTGGATGTTTAATTTGTTGTTGTGTAGAATTTTCTGTATATTTTTTAAACATTTATATCACATGCCAAGCTCAGCTGGTTCCTTGACAGCTGTTTATATTCTCCATTATAATGACTTCTAGGATGAGTTTAACAGAGGTGAGTCAGTATTACATTTTTCTGTCATTTATTCCTCAATGGAGCATAGGTCCTTCCCATCCATTAACCTCACTCTCAAGTTCTCTTCTCAATGAATTTTTAGTCTGGCTTTATTTATGTGCTCCTGTGTGTACCAAAGTAAAGACATTATAGTAGAATAGTTCTCCATTTTTCTCATTGTGTTTCCTATCCAATGCTAGCAACTGTTCTTCACCATCATGATTCTCTGGAATTTCAACAAGCATGCTGGATGTTAGTATTGTTGATTTTTAAGTAGTTTGTTTTTCTAAATAAATATTTTAAATTTTATTTCAAGCACATGTAGTTCCTTTACAGATGATCATATTGTATTATATTGATTTTTTAGGATTGGCATAATAGAGAGGTTAGTCATTAATACATGCTGGATGTTAGTATTGCTTAGTGGATTCTTGTTTTTATTATTACACCCTAAAGGTGGCATATCCTCAACTCTGCATATTCTACATTGTGTTGATTGCCAGGGCTGATTTAATAGAGAGGTTAGTTATTAATACATCCTGGGTATTTATGTTGTTGCTAGGTAGGTTCTTGTGCAGAATCGTGGGAAGTCAATGATTTATTTAAAAGTATGATGAAACTGCAGAGGTGTGGTCTTATAGAACGGTAAAGACATGGACAGATAAAAAGTGTAATAAAGATGCCTAAAAAGATGTTAACTCTTAAAAAAAACTATCATCCACATCAGAAAGGACAGTCAACATTCTTTGGTCACATCCTCAGAAGCAAAAAGCTCATAGTACAATGTGACACTAAGAGAGTTGGAACGAACGAACGAATGAACAAACTTTTATTTTCAAAGGGTTGCAAATTAGTCACGCAGGCCTGTCTTACATTGGGCCCTTCTAAACTCTTTCACACAACAGTTGTATTTCATCATTAAAGCATGTTAAATTGTTATGTTCATGTAAAATTATGCATATTGTGAATATCAAGTCAAAAACAAATGCATGGGTGGTAAAATATGTGTGCACGCTCGCATGCGAACACACACATCCACATACACACGCAAACCCATTCACTCACTCTCACACACACACACACATATGCACCCAATACACACATACATCCACTTACATACACACACTTATACACCAGTCACCCACACAGACACACGCTCTAAAACACACACGCATACAACAGAGACACATACAGACACACACAGCTATACACACACATACATACACACATGTAGCCGCATAAAAAGACCTATACAAACACCACACAGACTGAGGCACACAGACAAAAACCCACACAGACACACACACATACATACACACACAAAGCCGCACAAAAAGACCCATACAAACACACACACCGACGCACACAGACATAAACCCACACAGACACACACACATGCAGTCACAGGCACGCACACAAACACATACGCAGGCAGGGAAAACACACAGACACACACATAGACATACACAACACTAATACATACACAGATACACAGACAGACACGCACACATACGCACACAGACATACATGCAGACACATAAACTGACACAAACAGAGACACACAGGCATATAATAGACATACCGATAGAGACACACACAGATACACAAAGCTACACACACAGACATTCACAGCCACAGATACACACACAGTCACACACACAGAAACATAATGGTGTGCACACACACACACATACATACAAATACACTCACAGATGCACAAACACTCACACAGACACACACATCAAAAGACAAACACTCAGATACCCAGGAAGCCACACACACAGTGACACATGCAGACATTATATAATAGATACACCCATAGAGACTCACACAGATACACATGCAGCCACACACACACACACCTACAGACACATAATGACACACACACACACACACAGACATACACACACACATACTAACACACCCACAGATGCACAAATACTCGCACAGACACACACACGCAGACCATGCAGACGTATATACACACACACAATATTATCAAAAAGATGAACACACAAATAAAGAAACACACAGCCACAGACACAACATAGATACACACAAACAGACACACACACACAGACAAACACGCAGCCACACCCACACATATACACATACAAACACGCACATAGACACACACCCAGCCACACATACATATACACATACAAAAACACAGACACATCTACACAGCACAGACTGACACGCACACAGACGACCTTACAGACGCACATTCATATGCACATAAAAACACGCATATAGACGAACCAACACAGAGGCACGAGCACAGACACGCACACAGGCACACCTACAGACACGCATGCTGACACCATACAGATTGACACACAGGCACACTAACAGACACACGCCCACGCACAGACACAGACACTTACACACACACACAGAGACCCACAAAGACATACACACAAACTTTTACAGTTACCCATACATACACTCATACGTACACAGAACCATACACGCACAAACACGCCTACACACACATGCAGGTCACACATAAATGCATACATACATTTCTTACACACTGTAATTAATTATAAACAAGTAATGCATTGTTGATTATTAACTACATTTAAGGTGGCATACAATCACTGGTAATCATGAAATGAAAGAGTTTGCGGTTAAATGAGTAGGGACTCTTTGTAGTTTTTAGATCTAGTGGAAGATGGTTCCATAAATGAGCAGCAGAATATGCTAAACTTGTTTTAAATAAATCAATTCTGGGTTTAGGCAAATTTAATAAACTTAGTCGCTTGCTATTCTTAGGATTAGATTGAATCAATCGGTCGATGTAATTTGGAGTATCTTTAGATAGGATTTTGTTAATGAATTTGCCCTTATAAAAAATTAAACGTTTACTAAATGGCAGAAGTCTTAGATGTCTGTGTAAAAGATTTTTCTCGACGTAGTTTCTATTGGGAACTATGCGTAAGGCTCTATTTTGAAGAGAACTCAGCCGTTTTACATTAGATTTGGAGCAGCCATCCCAAGTTGTGGAACAATAGAGGAGAAGGGAGGTCAGTGTTTAGTAATTTTATTATCACAGTTAGAAAATAGGATAAAGCTAGTTTTCTTAGAATCAGTTGTAGTAAACCTACATACTAGGTACAACCAAATTAAAACTAATGCTAAACTTAAAATTGTTTAATTCTTATGTCAGATCAGTACTGCTGTATATAGCAGAAACACGGAGAACACCTTAAACAGTTACTTATAAACTACATACATTCATTAACTGGTGCCTGCCTAGAATAGAGGGAATTAAATGGTATAATAGAATCACTAATGTTGAGCTTTGGGGGAGAACAACTTCCGATGGACCAAGAGGTGAAGAAAAGATGCTGATGTTTATTGCGAAATGGGGAGTGGGTAGATTCTTTTAGGATGAGTAGGAATTTTCCTCTCAACACATCCCCTCCACCAGATTAACTAAACTAATATCCGAGCTATGTTATCTCAGACAAATTCCTGGATATTCAAGAAAACAGCCATATTGGCTCGTTAAGTAAATTAACAGTAGCTGCACTTGGTACCCACAGGAGATGGGAAGGGATTTTAAATGTCTAAATTATTATATTTAATGAATTATTAGACAGAGCAGTTGACCCCTTCCGACTACCTCCTCCTGATAAAGAATTATTATGATTATTGAGCCTCCACCAAATATATTCTATCTTAACAGTTTAATTGAACATGTAGTACCAGGCACACTTGGAATTACAAAAACTGATGCAGTATAAGACCATATATTTGATTTATTAACCTAGCAATCTATTCTGTTATATACAGTTTTAGTAAACAGTGATGGTATGGTGGTAATGAGATGATTCAGCTAGATAACTGAGCACCTAACATTAGAGTTGAGTTATAATGGTGGTGATAAGTTTACAAACATAAATACATGGTATGTAACTTATCAAATTTTATTAAGTTGAACCTCAGAAATCCCCCGGGTTGAGGACCTTCTTGACTTTTCCACCTCTTCGTTCCAGCGCCTGTTCTCTGCCTGGTTCTCCACCTCCTGCCTAGCTCGTTCCTAGTGTGTTCCCAGCTGGTCGTTCTCCTAAACACTGTAGGTTCGTACCCGTAGACCCTCTGTTTCTGTTATCAGAAAGGATTGGTCGTCACCCCGAGGGAGCTGTAATAATGGAAACAAACACATATGTGTAGTATCTAGACTTACACTAAGAATACATATATATGTGTATATACATATCTAAATAATAATAAAATATATTTCATCACTCCTAATATTCCACTTTCTCACCAGTCTAGTCTAAAGGTCTTGTGTCGCACACTGACATCTAACATATCCTGCTTTTCCTCTCATGTTTTGTCTTGATAGTTGACTTTTTAAGTCAGTTGTCCGTTAACACTCAAACTTCCAACTGGCTGACATTGTTTTGACATAAATCTGTGGTGCAGGTTATGTGCTGAACACGCAAACCATTTTATACTTGCATGCTGTCCTGAATATTATCTTTCCAGTGACAGTGAATTCTATACACCCATGATTATTTTCCTGGGGTTATCAAAACCCTGTTTAGGTGAGCACATTGTGGGCACACACAAAACGTAACAACATAATGTGGCTGCACATGTGGGCATAATTTCCCCCAGTCTAGGCTTATGTTTTGGTTGATGATTGCAACATTATATTTTCATTACATTTCAGTATACAAGTCTTATTTTATAAACATGAAAACATACACCGACAAACATGTAATACAACCATTCAAGAAATAGGAATGGTTTAGCAGTTCCCTAACTGAGATAACTGAATCCTCACAAAGAACTATTTCAAGCAGAATGTTTTGTTTGATATATATCAGGAAAGGTAGAAATAGACTTAGCTAGCCAATGATTAACAAGATGGGAAATAATATAAAAGCATACCTGAGAACATTCCAGCAATTGCCAAACAGGACTCAAATAGCTAGAATTACTTTCTACTGTTGGTCTAAGTTGGTGGCCTGCTGGCAGCGATTTGAAGTGAAGTCAAGATCCTAGCATTAATCAAATGTACCCTTATCTCTCTGCAAAGTTAAAACTCCTCCCCTTCTCTAGTTTCTAACCTACCCTACAGGAGAGGATCTAAGCCACGCCCCTGAGGTACCTTGCAGATCAAATTAGCTATCATAATCAATGTGCCTGTCAGTCACTGTTTACTGCCCCCTTCTAAGATCAAACATTCACAAGTGGTAAACATCTGTTCTACAGCCAGTCTCACTGACAGGTGTGAAATCTCAGTCCAGGGGATGCCATCATGTCTGGAGTTGTCTACTAGACTATGTTAATTCCCCTGATCTGGTCTGTTCAAAGGGTCCAGTCTCAGTCTGGTTATTTAACATTTATTTAACTGTCGGGCTGGTAGAAGGACCAGCTAGATAAGGTAATGGGTAATGTTAGGTAATCTCTAACCAAGCTTGGTTGCTTTGTCTGGCTACTAAGGACTGGAAACACTTTTAAATTTCATGTGGTTTTTAGTACTATTTAGGCTTAGTGCATATTGAACATAATTCTTTGTTTCTCCATGATCATAAGAAATTATTAAACAGCATATAACTTCTGAGGCCACTGAGGTCATTTCGTCACAATGTTGGATAGAACTCACTTTGAAAACCTGAGAACAGTAAAACTACAGTGTCTTTGCAATGGAACATGTAGGGTTATAGCAATAAAGGAGGGGAAAAAAAAGCATTGAGAAGGAAGCTAGAGAGAAGTTGAATAAGATGTGGAAGACATAGGTGAACTGCATGCAATATCAAAGGATAGAATGACTTGGTGTGAGCTGGGGGAGGGGGTCGAAGGCAGAAGAAGAAAAAATTTTTACATAGCTTAACTAAGCTTAACTAAATTCACTAATTAGATAGATAAATGTTGAAGCCAAACTGAAACTATTCACTCTTATACATTTCAGAAATGAGGAGGTCTAAAGAACTGAATGAATCACAGAAGCGGTCACCTTCCCCAGGGTAAGATGTTAAGACTGCTAACTGTAATACTAAGGTATAGAAGCTGTGAATGCTTGTATTTGATGGTGTTTGTTGTTACATTCTAGCTCTCCCCCCCCCCCCCCCCCCCCTCCCCCCCCCCCCCCTCCCCAGCAGTACATGTGTCTGTTAAACAAAAAAAAATGTATTTAAATTTCAGTCCGAAATAAAATGATCATTCAGCTTGAGATTCCCTACATGGGATCTTCAGGCAATAATAAACTATATGTGGAAATCAAGAGAAAACTACCACATTGCTATTGCAACTCTGTTTCTGCCTCCCGGGGTCCCATTTTATGGGGAGAGGGGGGGGGGGACACTCTCTGCCCCCAACAAGCATGCCTTACAAGACGACTAATTAGGTGTTTTCTTAAATTGAGTGTGTTGGGCTAAACAGGGCAGATAGTGCAGCCTATCCACAAACTACAACACAAGTTTCCCTACATGGGATCCTCAGGCAATAATAAACTATAACTGGAGCAAGGTCCATGTGTTCCAGTGCCAACTACCTTCGACTGTATCTGTAATCATGGCAGCCCAGCCGTACTTTAATGTTGGTCCAAGTTTTTTTTATTCTATGCTTTCTGACTTGTCTTGAGATGTAGCCAGTACAATACTTCTGAACAAACAGTTGTATTCTGATTATAGTTTTTTTAAATTTTTAAAATTTTATTTTAACCTACTTAGCAAATATTATTTTAAAATTGCACAGTTGATACTTGTGAAATGTGCCGTCTGCACAAGGTCACTAACAACACAAGAAGAAACAGGGTTAAGAATGCCAGCATTAGAGAGAAAGTTGGAATTAGCCCATGTCTGGATGAAATTTACAGACAAAGAATGAAATGGTTTGGCCATCTAGTGATATTGCAGCCAGACCAGACTGCAAAACTTCTAGGAGGAAGGCGAGAGGAAGACCAAGGAAAAGTAGGATAAATGTTGTTGCTGAAACCTGCAAAAAGGTGAACAAATCCATCACTCAAGCCACATGAGAAGCGCAAGACAAATACAGAAAAACATGACACTGCGCTACAGTCTGGTGTCAAGTGAGATGAAAAAAGAAGAAGAAGTTAACAAGCCATCAAAAAAACTAACAATGGTCATCATAGTAGAAAGGGAGCAGGTAATACATTTCTCCCAGCTTGGACATGAAAGAATTTGGCAGAAAAGGAATGAGAAAAAATATCACAGACAAAAGTGGACTAGAAAATAATTGCATATTAAATTCTCATATTAAATATGAGAATTGTTTAATGTTATATATACTTAGTGCTTAGCTATGATGCAGTAATATAGTCTCCCCCCCCCCCCCCCCCCACCCCCCCCCCCCCCCCCCCCCCCCCCTCTTTGCATTGTTAGTTTCTGTTGAAAGTAAATCTTGATTGAATTTAAGTCTTTATTAACACATAAAATTTTTTTTTTTTTTTTTTTTGTAAACAGAATTGGAGACAATGGCAAATCTGCTAATCGATCAGGTAAGAATCATTTTGATTTTTATGTCTGTCAGGACTAATAACTTATTATATCCTGCAAAATGCTAATAGCGTGTATGTTTAAGAAGAAAATTGCTTTACATGTTTAGTTGCTTGGATAAGACCAGACTTCCCCATCAAGCCCTCATATGGACACCAGAAGGGGAAAAAACCGGGAAAGACCCAGAGAGACTGCATAGAACCATCATCAGGGAAGGCTCCACCATGGATCTAATGAACATTCAAGACCTAAAACAGGTGGCAACGAACTGCCTGACAAGGAGAGCTATGACCTCTGCCCTTTGCGCCGCTCTAGGCTCAATAGAAAAGACTAACTAAATATCTTACATTGTGCTGCCTTATCTTCCCTTCCCTTTTGTTCCCTTGCCCCAGAATTCCTGTTTAGAAAATCCAGGATTCACGTGGAGTTTTCGGTCTTGACTCTTTATCATAACAGCTTTATAAACAAATCCGAAAAAATCAAACTTAGTGTAACCAACCTCCTAAGGGGTTATAATTAGTGCACTCATAAAGGCTAAACATGGCAACAGGTTCCCTGCTGTTATGGACACATAAGGAGAATTATTTGTTCATACATCTTCAGTGATCACTTGTGAATTAGATATCTGAATAATACTGCACCCTTTGGTCTTGCAGTTGACAAAACTCAAAACACTAAGGTCATGAAGTGTTTTTGTGAAATACAATGGAACCCAATCCAATTACATAATAGCTATAACTCCACCCACTTTTGTTCATGTCATAACTGCTATGCCTTACACTATCAGTTGCAATTTTCAATTGAATGACATCCGGTCTATCAAAACAGTGATGAAACTGATAAATAGGCATCTCTAGGTATTGGCCAGTATGAGGAAACCAAAATATCACTTTCTGTAGGCTGGTTAAAAACCAATGTTTCAGTGTTTTAAGGTATACATTATTTTTTTTTCAAATATTCTTACAAAGTGGCTTTCCTGCTGGCTGAGTGATCATGTGTTCAAATCTCTCTTCAGAGGTTATAAATTTGACTGGGACATTTTCTGAGAAAGGCATGTTAAAAAATAAAATGATAAACTGCTCAGCCCTTGACGTCACTAGCCATACAGTCCTAAATCCTCCCATTCAAAGTTCCCTGTGCCTACACACTGCAGTAGTAAACACAGGCAGCAGTGAAAGAGACAAGAACATGCAGAAGAAACCCTACGGTGAACATTGATGAAAGAAGCCAGAGGTATAGACTGCTGGATTCCATCTGTGATATTGAAGTGATTGCACAGGATCAGACAGGATTGGCAAATAGACTTGGACCTTATGTGACTTCATAGCACAACAGGACAATGAGTGAATAATAGACATCTGGCAGGCAGCTGATATCTGACCACATAGGTTAGCACCATTTGTCATGGGTTCGATTCTGAATGGAGCCAGAATTTTTTCAGAAATGACCTTGGCTCCCAGGTCGACTCAGCCTTAAAAAGGCACCATCTGAAGTTAAAAAAAAAAGTAAAGGTCCCTTTTCTATGTCATTAGACATATAGGGCTAAACCTATATTTTTATAGACCAATCGGCACAAAATGGGTGATGTGGTCAGCATCATGCCGGCCGCCTTTATTTCCCAGGACCGCGCTTGGTACCCACTCAAGGCTGGGTTGACCTGGGAGTCACTTTTGAAAAAAGACCGGGTCCGCTAGGGAGCGAACCCACGACCTTCCGAGCCGCGAGCGTCTAGCCGCTAAGCCACGGCGACTGCCGCCATGTAAAGTCCTGGGAAGTAAAGGTAGCCGGTATGTTGGTGACTACGGTGTGCTGATTGGTCTATCAAATATAGGGCTAGCCCCTAAAAGCATGGGAAAAGGGACCTTTAAAGTTATTTGCACATTATTTACTTTTTGTAACTGTTACGGTTTTTCCAAGCAGATTTTAGGTTCACTATTTAGCCATTTCTTACTGACGGTTGGCTCTGGATACCACTGATGAACCCAACACAATGCGAACAATTGCCTGTAGTTGGGATCGAACTTTATTTATTTACCATTTACTCAGTTTTGTTCAAGTCATGGGCCCTGGTCGTTTATTTGTGTTCACTGATGTATGTTGTATAAACTATTTGTTTATTATGTTTCAGGCTGTTGATATTTTTTTTTTCCCCAGGGAGACAGAGGTCTTCTTCTATAATGAGCGATATAAAAATCAGAGATTATGGACATGGTAATCCACATTTGTCACACCATGGCTCGGTACCACCACCAATGTTTCCACATTCACGCCAGGAAGAAATGTACATGCCGCTACCACCACCACAGCCACAAGGATTCGCATTTGGTAGAGGCCAGAACAAAAGATTTGATGGATATGGTAGCCAGGGCTCTGAGACGCCACTGATGCCAGGGTCAGAGGCATTTGTGAGTCCTGTCTATTACAAGCCTCACTTTTATCAGGATTCTGATTCGGAACGTGGGGCAAACAGACAGGAGACCAGATCTCACTTGAGTTCCAGTAGGGAGATGTCAGAAACGAATCCTGCCATGTTGATTGATTATGGACATCAAAGCAAAGATAGGGAGAGAGATGAGGTCAGAACTTTTAGGAAGTCCGCAAGAAGTGATGATGAGAGTCCGTCTAGACCACCAGGAAGGGGCAGAGAAGATGAGAGAGAGAGCATACCTTCTAGGCAGTTATCTAGGGGCAGAGAAGAGGAGAGAGATAGCATAGCTTTCAGGAAGCAAGCTAGGGGCAGAGAAGATGAGAAAGATATCATACCTTCTAGAAAGCCATCTAGGGGCAGAGAAGATGTGAGGGATTTACCTTCCAGGAAGCCAGCTAGAGACAGAGAAGATGAGAGAGACAGCATACCTTCCAGGGTGTTAAATAGGGGCAGAGAAGATGAGAGAGATATCATACCTTCTAGGAAGTCAGCTAGGGGCAGAGAAGATGAGAGAGATATCATACCTTCTAGAAAGCCAGCTAGGGGCAGAGAAGACGAAAGAGATGAGACTAGCACTTCTAGAAAGATAGCCAATAGCAGAGCAGAAACATTTGACCTGAGAGATGAAATCAATGCTAGGCATTCAGCACGAATCTCAGTAGATGAGTGGGATGAGGCTAGCACATCCAGACAGAAGGCAAGGGGTAGAACAGACAAGAGGGAGGTCAGCACCTCCGTGAGCAGAGCGGACAAGTGGGAAGATGATATTCAGCAAATCCTTGGACCCAGTGGCAGAAAAGGTCCACTTGACGGGTTAGCTCTTCTTAGTTCCACTTATTCATCACCAGAGGATGAGAGATCACCATCACCACCCAGGAGAATGAAACAGACCAAGGCACTTCCATTTTCCAAAACATACTTGGAGATTGTTGACTCTCAGAAGAGGCTGAAGGAGAAGAGAAGGAGCAGTGAATTAAATTCAGATTTATTGGACAGTAGGGGGAGAATTATTAAAACAGAGAAATATGTTGAAGCATCACCAAAGACAAGAAGCCCTGAAGCTGTGAGGATGCGGCGTAGAAGTCCAGAGAATTATGTTGATGACAGAGTCTCCCGCGAACAGGCAGTTCATTTGACAAGAAGACACCCGGCACAGAGAGTTGAGTCCACAGAGCAAGTGTATTCACAGCGAGACAGATCACGTAGCCCAGTACATGTGAGGCAGCAGAAAGCCACCAGAAGTCTAAGAGATTCAAGCCCTGTTAGGACTCACAAGAAACCAGTAAGTCATTTGAGACAAATGTGTTAGGTTTTGTACAAATATGTTTTGAAGTTAACTCTTTCAGTACCAAGTAGTTCTTACTTCAGAAATGTGTATCCTTACATTTTTCTACCACAGAGCAATAATTTTTGGGTTGACGATATTGACAAATATCGCTTTGTGGCAGGAATGTTGTGTGCTGAATACTAGCAGCATACAAATATGTGGTTAAGTGATTGTCAAGTGATCTTTGCTTGAATGCTGCATATATATATATATATATATATATTTTTTTTTCTTTCTCACAAAAACATTTGGGTACATACAACCGCACCTAGAATAATTAACGCAAAGCATCAGCATCATACACTTGTCTAACACTGGCTAAACATGAAATGAATGTCAGAAACTCCGCTCACTCAAACAGTTTCAGCAAAGCTCTATTTGACAGCCTACACTAGCTGTCACTACAACTCTTGAGCTCACTGCTTCTGTGCCCAGGGCGCTGGCTACCCTTACATCAGGGCTAGCAGTAAGGATGAACAGGCTTCATCTAGCTTCCTCAGCTTGACCTCCGTTGCTATGCTTGTAGCAGATACTTCACATAGGCTGACTAGAAACTTCAGTGCTTAAGCTCCATAATGTGCACACAGCACATCAGCCTGGTTGAGGAAATCTACGATGACTAGCAGAACTCCCAACTCCCAACTCTGAATCCTCTCAGCACACAGCTGTTGCTGACATCTACGAGGGTCTTCCTCGTATCTAGAACTGCTGTCTTGTTTCAGTAGTGATTCCGACCGCCACACGCGACGTCACCCAAGACTAGCTTTTATCACAAGAACGCCCAGCTTAACTTGGCTCAACTCTGCCAACTGGACTTTGAACTTAACTTGGCTCAACTCTGCCAACTGGACTTTGCACTCTTGACTGGTCCTTTGACTGGACTCTTGAGCACGCAACAAGGAGTTATTGAAGAAAGATTGGAGATAGAATTTATTACCAAACACAGAAGAATGGACCAGAAAGGGTGAAGAAATATGTGCCATATAAATAATAACTCATGAACTTACTGTTTTTAGTTCATGGTACAGAAAGAGTTAAAAATCTAATGATTTAGTTAGTTAGTAAGTTGATCAACAGATTATCCTCATTGCACATCGGACAAGTCCATTAGCATTTGGATCCCGTCTTCGGTATGTCATCCAGCGCATGGCAACTGATAACACCAGTCTGTGTTGGTTTACCATTCTTCTTTGGCTACCTGCATAGTGTTCATTTTTGGTGACACCTTTTTCGACCTCATAGTCATT